TGCTGCTGCTGCTGCTGCTGCAAGTGCTGCCTCCGCAGCTGCCAGTGCTAGCACTCCCGCTGCTGCTGCTGCTGCTGCTGCTGCTGCTGACTCACCACAGGCCACTGAGAGCCATCCTTATATCCCCATTTGCATTTGCTGCTTTTCTGGCGAACAGCAGCAAAGCAGCAGGAGCAAAAAGAGGAGGCAGGGCCCCCTGGGGGCCCCCCTGGGGGCCCCCCTGGGGGCCCCCCTGGGGGCCCCCCTGGGGGCCCCTGGGGGCCCCCCCCCTGCGTCTCGCCAGCAGCTGCAGGCGGGCCCTTTGCAGCCTTTTGTTGATGATATTAATTATTTCTTTTTCTGTATAAGGAGAAACAATTAAAGCTTTTATTTTGAGTCCCGAGAGATGAGCAGCAAGTTCAGTGCTGTTGCTAATTGCTGCAGCAGAAGCAGCAGCAAAGAGCAGCGCAGCAGACACAGATGCAGCCCACAGAACTGCAGCAGCAGCAGCAGCAGCAGCAGCAGCAGCGGCAGCAGCAGCAGCAGCAGCAGCAGCGGCAGCAGCAGCAGTTTGAACGCACCGACGACAATAATGCGAGATTGCGGATGCGTAGCTGCTAGTGCGAGGGCTAAGAGGGCGTCGTGCTGCTGCTGCTGCGAGCTGCTGCTGCTGCTGCTGCTGCTGCTGCTGCTGCTGCTTCTCATGGAAAGGCGCATGTCCGCTCTGGTCTGGCCCTTCGTCACTAAAAAGTCCACCTCGTCCACCATGCACAGCCTGAGCAAACCCTAAACCCTAAACCCTAAACCCTAAACCCTAAACCCTAAACCCTAAACCCTAAACCCTACTTGTAAAAGGCCCTGTGGTCTCCGGGCCTCCCCAAAATGCGACAAAGAAGTTCCGTCAGCAGCTGCACGTCTCGTTCGCGATGAGCGCAGGAGACAGAGATGAGCTGTACATACACCGCAGCAGCAGCAGCAGCAGCAGAGGCTGCAGCAGCAGCAGCAGCAACTGCAGCACGAATGGCACAGCAGCAGCAACAGCAGCAGAAGCTGCTGTTGCTGATGCTGCACTACAGTAGCAACTGTAAGAGGGGACCCGGCAGCATCGGCTGCTGCAGCAGCAACACTGCAGCAGGCGCTGCAACAGCAGCATTAACTGCTGCAGCAGCAACACTGCAGCAGGCGCCGCAGCAGCAGCATTAACTGCTGCAGCAGCAACACTGCAGCAGGCGCTGCAACAGCAGCATTAGCTGCTGCAGCAGCAACACTGCAGCAGGCGCTGCAACAGCAGCATTAGCTGCTGCAGCTGCTGCGTTGCGTCTGCGTTTGTGTGCGGCTGGCCGTTTGCTGCTGCGCCCCTGGCTCACCTCTTTGCTGCAGCAGCTGCTGCTGCTTCTGCTGCTGAGGGCCTGCTGCTGCAGCACGTGGCGCACCAGGCAGCTTTTTCCCACGCCGCTGGAGCCGCAAATATACAGAAGGCCTCCTCTCCTTTCTTGAATTTGCCTGCGCAGCAGCAGCAGCAGCAACAGCAGCAGCAGCAGCAGCAGCAGCAGCAGCTGCAGCAAATACAAATCCCACAGCCCCAGGCCCTTCTGTCTGCTGCTGCTGCTGCTGCAGCTGCAGTGTCTCGTTGGCTGCAGCTACTTCTGCGTATGTACACCTCAGATTCATGCAGCAGTTAGGTACGTGCACCAGCTGCTGCTGCTGCTGCTGCAGCTGCTGCTGCAGCTGCTGCTGCTGCTGCTGCTACTGTAGCTGCTGCACTAGATGATATGAGAAGCACGGAAGAAGACAACGAGGGACAGCAGCAAATGCAAGACACAAGGCAGCAGCAAAAGGGACAAAGGGTAAACAAAAAGAAGCAAAAGCAGCAAAAGGAGACACAAAAGAGAAACGCAGCAGCAGCAGCAGCAGCAGCAGCAGCAGCAGCAGCAGCAAATCTCACTTGTTGACAAAGTTCGAAACTGCTGCTTCATATTTCTCGCGGCCCCCGCAGTAAGCAGCAGCAGAAGGCCGCAGCGCCTGCAGCGCCAAGTTGTGCAGCAGCAGGCTGTCCTCGAGGCCCCAGTTGCTGCTGCTGCTGCTGCTGCTGCTGCGGCTGCTGCTGCTGCTGCTGCAGCTGCTGCTGGCCGTCGTGCTGCAGCTGTTGCTGCTGCACAGCTGCGGCTTCGCCACGCGGCTGCCGCTCGCTGGCTGCGAGGCCGAGGCGGGAGGCTCTGCTGCTGCTGATGCTGCTGCTGCTGCTGCTGCAGCAGCAGCAGCAGCAGAATGTCTCCTCGTGCTCGCCGAAGAGACACAAGTCGAGGCTGAGACAGAAGAAGAGACAGCAGGGACTTCAGGTGTACATACACCCGAGCAGGCAGCAGCAACGGGACTTCCAAGCTGCTTCCCTTTGCTGCTGCACACAAAACTCCTCTTGCTGCTGTTCCTACTCCTGCTGCTGCTGCTGCCGCTGCTGCTGCTGCTGCTGCTCTTGGCAGGCGTGGCGCGGCTCTGTCTTTTACATGAAAGAGGAGAGCCCGGAGACCCCGAAGGGCCCCCTTGGGGCCCCCCCTGGGGGCCCCCCTGGGGGCCCCCCTGGGGGGCCCCCTGGGGGCCCCCCTGGGGGCCCCCCTGGGGGTCCCCCTGGGGGCCCCCCTGGGGGCCCCCCAGGGGGGCCCCCTGGGGGGCCCCTTGGGGGCCCCCCGGGGCCCTCGAGGTGGAGGTACAGCTGGAGGCCCCTGAGCGCAGGGAGAGGCGAGTGAGGCGGCGCTCTATGGGGGTTAGCTGCGGGCTGGCTACGTGCAGCAGCTGCTGCTGCTGCTGCTGCTGCTGCTGCTGCTGCTGCTGCTGCTCGCGCTGCTGCTTGCGGGTTCGCGCGCGGCCTAGAGAGGCGCCCGGGGTTTTCTCGGCGGTGGCCGCTGCTGCTGCTGCTGCTGCTGCTGCTGCTGCTGCAGCAACGCTGGCCGCCACGCGAGGCATTGTGGGGCCCCCGAGGCTTCGGGCTTGGGGAGGGTCTGCTGCAGCAGTGAGGTGTACATACACCCCGCAGCCTGGGCAGCAGCAGCAGCAGCAGCAGCAGCAGCAGCTGTCTGCGCAGCAGCTCGTCGAAGAGCGGCGCTGGGGCGAGTGCACCTGCTGCTGCTGCTGGTGCCGCGCTGCTGCTGCTGCTGCTGCCGCGGCTGCTGCTGCTGCTGCTGCTGCTGGGGGGTGGAGCCAGGCGCCGGGTGTACGTACACCGAAGTGCGCAGCAGCAGTGGGGCCCCCAGCAGCAAAAGGGGGGGCTGGGGGAAGCTGTGGAGAGAGGTGTGGGGTGTTTGGGGGGAGAGGAGGGTTTGCTGCTGCTGCTGCTGCTGCTGCTGCTGCTGCTGCGGCTGTTGCTGCTGCTGCTGCTGCTGCGGCGGAGGGTGCTGCTGCTGGCTCTTCAGCTACAGAAATGGAGCCTTAAATCCCTTAATAAACAAAAATAAACTCAAGAAAAAATAAAAGAAGTGGCAACTAAAGTGGGGGGTGGGGCCCCGAGCAACACGCGCGGGCTTGGGTTGTTGTGTCAGGTGTACATACACCCGAGATAGCAGCGCAGCAGCGGCAATTTTCGCTGCAGCAGCAGCAGCAGCAGCAGCAGCAGCAACTACTGCAGCAGCAGCAGCAATAAATTCATTGTTTTACAGCCAGCCAGCATAGAAAAGACACCGGCGCCCTCCCCCAGAGCCACCCTCCGCCGTGCAGCTTACAGCCACCGCTAAACCCTAAACCCTAAACCCTAAACCCTAAACCCTAAACCCTAAACCCTCAAAACGCCCCAGAAGCGCTTTTTTATCCACTTTTCGCAAACGCGCTTAAAGACAAAGCAGACAAGGAGACGGGAGGCTGAGGTGTACAGACACCTCGCGAGCCCAGCCCTCCTCCCCAAGCCCTCGCCGGCCCACCTCCCCTTCTGCTGCTGCTGCTGCTGCTGCTGTTGCTGCTGCTGCTGCTGCTGCTGCTGCTGCCAGGGCCTCCCAACGCCCTACAGGCCCCTGACGGATCCTCTGGCAAGCTGCTGCTGCTCTCCAGGACTTGCATGCACTCAGAAGGATCTTTTTGCGAAATATACCGGCTCAGATCTTTGAAGAAATTAAATCCATTAGGCAGCTGCAGCAGCAGCTTCGCCTCTTGCTGCAGTTTGCAGCTAAATGCGCATTTGCTGCTGCGCTCAGGGGGCGCAAAAGCCCCTTTTGACCGCCAAAATGCACCAAAATTTAGCCAAATGTGAAGAAATAACTCAGATATAAAAGGCAAAAATGTAAAATGGTCTTTTTAGCTCAAAGTTGCATCCAAAAGTGGAGAAAAACGGAGGAAAGTGCAGATCTGTACAGGCCAGCAGGTGTACGTACAGCTGAGCTCGCCAAGTGCCCGCTCGGTCAAAGTGCCTCCAAATGCCATTTATATTTAAATTAATAAATAATTATTCAAATAAAAATGTTTTTTAAATTAAATTTCCGCAAATTCGCGCAAATGCATCCGCGACTTGCGCGCTGAGGCCTGAACCCGCGGGAGGTGTATGTACACCTCACGCTGTACACTGCACACGCGTGGACACTTTGGCGTTTTTTTGAACGATTTTCTTCATTTAAAAATGTTTTTATGAATTTATAGAACTTTTAATTGAATATTTGAGCATTTAAATGGGTTTTTATGCCAAAAGATCGCCACTTTTTCCCACTTTTATGAACTTTTGTGTATTTCCATTTCAGGCATATAAATGCACTGAGGGATTTATTCCAAGAAATCCATTAATGCAAACAGATCAGATAAGGGAGAGTTTGAGGTGTACAGACACCGCATTCACCACATTATATTTATTTGCTTGTGGGGCAAAAAAGGGCTACTAAATGCATGCATCCAAAACTCCAAATGTGTTTAAATAAAAACCAAAAAAAAGATTTAAAAAAGATTTAAAAGAGATTTAGGAAGCCTTCAAATTAAATAAATGAGATAGACTCGAGGCCCTGAAGCAGCAAAAGGCGAAGTCCGAAATGAAATACCGCGCGCGCTTAAGGTCCTTCTGCTGCTGCAGTCCTGCTGCTGCAGTCCTGCTGCTGCTGCTGCTGCTGCAGCGCTGCTTCTGCTGCTTCTGCTGCTGTCGAACTGCTTCTTGTGCTGCTTTTCTTATTTGCATGCTGCCTTTTTCTCATTAACATTTGGAACTATCTGCATGTGTGCATTTATTAAAAGTATAAATCCTTTATTTGCTTTTTTTGTATATCTCATATATATGAATTCAAATATAAATGTAAAGCTGCTTATGGTGTACGTACACCTTCGCAGGCACTTGTGCGCATGCACATGCATGCGTTCATTTATTTCCTTCTAAAGATTTTTAAATGAAGATCTAAATAAATAAATGAATCGAAATGTATATAATTCCTAATTTACTCCTTTTGTGTCCTCCTGCTTCTTTCTCAGCTAGCCACCGCCGGTCTAACGAAGTGGCTAGCTAGCCAGCTAGCTGGCCAGCAGGCCATTCAGCTAGGTAGCTGCCAGCTAACCACCAAGCTAGCTAGCTAGCTAGCTAGCTATTCAGCTACCTAGCTGCCAGCGAGCCATTCAGCTAGCTATCCAGCTAGCCACTCAGCTAGCCACTCAGCTAGCCACCCAAGTAGCTACTTAGCTAGCTACTCAGCTAGCTACTCAGCTAGCTGTGCAGCTAGCTGCGCAGCTAGCTGGCAGCTAGCCACCCAGCTAGCTGCCAAGCTAGCTGAATGGCTGTCTCTCTGAGAGCCCTGAGACCCTGCAGCTCTCAAGTAAATCCTGAGCTGCCCTTAAAGATCTTTTTTCTTAATTTCTTTTAATGAAATGATTCTTTCATTTTCTTTCTTTTCTTTCTTTGCTGCTGTCCCAAAAAGAAAGTAGCCAACGCTACACTCCACAGGCAAAGGGCACACAGTCTAGCCGCCCAAGGGGGCCCCTAGGGGGCCCCTTCAGGGCCCCCAGGGGGCCCCTAGGAGCCCCTACGGGGCCCTAGGGGGCCCTTAAGGGGCCCCCAGAGGGCTCCTAGGGGGCCCCTAGGGGGCCCCTAAAGGGCCCCCAAAAGGCGCCTAAAGTTGTTCTAGAGGGCCCCCAAAGGGCCCTAAGAGGGGATTAAAAAGACCTCTAAAAGGCCTAACGGGGGCCCCTAAAGGGCCCCTAGGGGGGCCCCTAAAGGGCCCCTAGCTGCCCCCTAAAGGGCCCCTAAGTGGCCCCCTAAAGGGCCCCTGGGGGGGCCCCTAAAGGTCCCCTAAAGGGCCTCTAAAAAATCCCCAGAGTTGACTGCTGTGGGCTTGGAGGTGTACTTGCCTTTGTGGCCACTGTTGCAGCTTTAAGGCCCCTGGCAACGCTCAAACCCTAGCTGTCCAACCCTAAACCCTAAACCCTAAACCCTAAACACTGTTTCGAAACCCTCGAGGCAAACCCTAAACTCCACAGCCCTGAAGTCAGGGAGCAGTGGCGCACCAGTGGTCAAGACACCAGGTGGCCACTTTTTTTTCTCGTGAGCACTTGGGCCCCTGCCACTGAAGGCTGCTGCTGCAGCAGCTGCTGCAGCAGCTGCTGCAGCTGCTGCAGCTGCTGCAGCTGCTGCAGGTGCTGCTGCAGCCCCCCTCCCCACATCCGACCCTTGAGTGGAGCGAGAGCAGCAGGGGGGGCCCTAGGGGCCCCCTTTTGCTGCGTTTGGTGACAGAGAGAAATATAAATATTTATTTTTCTTTCTTTTCTTTGTTATATTGTGGCTCCAAAAGTATTACTTTTTGCACTAACTCTCAAGCAATTGATGGAGACTTGAGCAGCAATTGTCTTTCGCGAAAAACGTTGGTTTATTAGACTCTGACTGCGGCAAAATGCTTGAAAATCTACACTGAGGGAGCTGCATGCACTTAGCTAGACCGGCGGAAAGACTTAATTTTAGAATTATGTAAATATAAATGCATTTAGAATATTAATATTAATTAATTTAAATAAATTAATGCAAATTTTTGCGAGGGTTGGGCCTAATGGCTGCGGTGGCATGCACACAGTGTGCTGAGCACGAGGTGACCCTGGGGCTGAGCTGAGGAGATCGCCTTGGGGCGCTTGCTGGCATTTTTCGGCGTTTTTCTCCAATTAAATGAAATTTATGAAATATATTTATTAATTTAATTGAAGGAAAAAGACAAAAAAATGAAAATTTCACTCGATAGCCCCTAAAACAAGCACACGCCTGCAGAGCGCCAGGCCCCAGCAAGCCCCGGGGGGTTCGGGCCTGGTGGGACCAGGCCCGCCATGAAACTGCAAGTATAAGGAGCACATAATGGAGTAAATAATAACAAAAAGATTTATTTAAATAAACCGAAACTTTATTTTCTTTTTTATAAAAGTAATTGCCCAAAGGGTTGGGCTTGCCTCGCGGGCTGCGCGAGCTTTTCTCTGAGGTGTACAGACACCTCGCCGCGCGCGCCGTAGACTGCCTGTGGCCACTGCAGCTTTATTTATTCTTTTCTTCTTTTCCTTTTGATTTAAAATTCAGTTTTTTTCAACTTTATATTCCACTGTTGCAAATGGAGCTCTCAGGCCCCAGCAACGCCAAGAGGGGGGGGCTGCTGCGGGTCAGCCAAGACCCGAACATGTACCGCACCAGCTACAACGACATGTGTCAGGGGGTAGGAAGGCCATTTAGGCCAAAAAATCAAAACAATTCTCTTTAAATAACTCCCAGCTAGCCATAGCTAGCCACAGCTAGCCACAGCTAGCCACAGCTAGCTCCCTAGCCCGCTAGCTAGCCAAATCTGGCTGAAAAAGGAGCAGCAGAAGAGTCATTTCCAGCAAATTCATCTTTTCTCGCACTCCCCACCAACTCATTAGCCCATCTTTTGCTGCTAGCTAGCCATTTGACTTTTGCTGCATTTAATCTTTTAGTTCATTTAAACAAATCTTTGCAGCTAGCCAACGCAGCCCCTGCTGCTTCTCGGGGGCGCTCTGGCCTGTGGGGCGCTGGCTAGCTGCTGCAGCTAGCTGCTGCAGCTAGCCGCTGCATCCAGCTGCTGCGGCTAGCTGCTGCCCCTAGCTGCTGCGCCTAGCCAGTGCACCCAGCTGCTAATCAGCTAGCCGCTGCAGCTAGCTGCTGAGCTGCTGCAGTTTGCTGTTTGCTGCTGCAGCGGGAAGTGAGTGTGCAGAGCGACTTTCCTTCGGGCTACGGGGGCCACGTGCCCGTGGTGGGGCATCAGCTGTTATTTAAAAACTGCAAAGAAGTTTTGGAAATAAAAAAAAGAGAAAAAGATCCTTCAAGAGATTCTTTCGGGGGCTTCGAGGCCAACAAAATGGGCTACCCCTACCTCACAAAAGGAGCCAAGTCCGCGCTTTAACGAGCTGCTGCTGCTGCTGCTGCTGCTGCTGCTGCTGCTGCTGCTGCTTCTGCTGCTGCTGCTGCTGCTGCTGCTGCTGCTGCTGCTGCTGCTGCTGCTGCAGCGGCACGGAGTCGCGCTCGCCCCACACTTTCCGGGTGTACAGACACCTAAAAAGTCCCAGAAAGCACCTCTTTGCTGCAGACAGTTTTAGAAGATAAAGGAAATAAAAAAGAAACAAAAAAAGACAAAAACAAAAAAGTAGAAAAGAATTGAAGCAGCAAAACAAAAGACACAGACACCCCACAGACACCAGAAATGGCACTGAAGCCCTAGAAGCATTTAAATACAGCGAAAGCCCTTTAAGAATACAACTGCCTTCATTAAATTCATTAATTAGTTTATTTATTTATTTAGTTATTTATTAGTAATTAATTAGTTAATTAATTAGTTAATTAATTAATTAATTAATTAATTAATTAATTAATTAATTAATTAATTAATTAATTAATTAAAGGCTGGCTGTTTCGCAGGTGCGCATAACAGCGGCAAAACGCCTCGCAGTTAAAATCCCAAAAGCCTAAAAAGCAATCAAACAAAAGCAAATAAAAGCCAATAAACGAATAAATAACAAATAAGCAATAAATAAACAATAAATAACCAATAAATAAGCAATAAATAAACAATAAATAGGCAATAAATAGGCAATAAATGGTCCAAAAGTGCTTCAAAAACAGGCAAAAATGATGAAAAAAGAGCAAAAATAAACCCAATTAAATGGCAAATTCGCTCTGTCTCCCCACAGGCCCAAAGTCCCAGGCCCTTCCGCCCGATTCTTTCCCCCCACTTTAGTAGTTCCTCCCTGGGCCCTCGACATTCCCCAAAAGGGGTACGAGACCCTTTTCAACGGCCCCATCTAGCGGCCAATCAACCCCAAAAAAGCGCCTTTTCAGGGCCCCCAGGGGGCCCCCAGGGGGCCCCCAGGGGGCCCCCAGGGGCCCCCCAGGGGCCCCCCAGGGGGCCCCCCGAGAGCTCCGCGGGGGCCCTCGTGAAGGCCCGCAGGGGGCCCCTGGGCGCTTAAGGGGGCCCCCTGGGGCCCCACCGGCACGGGGCCTCCTGGGGCCCCACAGGGGCCCCCAAGGCCCCCGCAGGGGCCCCCCTCGTGCCCCACAGGGGCCTCGCAGGTGCCTTTGGGAGCTTCTGACTTTTGAGGCCTCTGTGGGGCCCCTAATGGAGGCCCTCAAGAGCTCGAGAGGGGCCCCTGTGGGCTCCAGTTGTGGGGGCCCCTGTGGGGCCCTAAAATGATCTAGAGGGGGCCCCTTGAGGCCCTGGTTCGCAGAGTCTGGGGGGCCCCTTGGGGCCCCTTTGCAAGCACTGAGGCCCTCTTGGGGCCCCCAAACCCAGAACAGCCATTAAGAAGGACTTTCGGGATCCCAGGGGCCCCTCAAGAGCCATTTAGGGGCCCCCATAGGGGCCCCACAGGGGCCTCCTAGGGCCCCCAAAGGGCCTCAGTGAGGGGCCCCTGGGGCTCTGAAGGGCAAAGGCCCAGGGGCCCCCAAAGGGCCCAGGGGCCCCCAAAGGGCCCAGGGGCCCCCAAAGGGCCCAGGGGCCCCCAAAGGGCCCAGGGGCCCCTGAGGGGCCCCTGGGTTTATATTATTGCACTTCTTTAAAGCGACAAAATATGTGTTAAGGCTCTCAGCCTTTGTTGGCCTTTGAAGGTTTAGTCTTTGCTTGGATTCCTCCTGTCTTTTACATTTTCTAACTGCTGCTGCTGCTGCTGCTGCTGCTGCTGCTGCTGCTGCTGCTCCTGCTGCTGCCGTTGCTGCCCGTGACGCTGCTGTGCAGCGTTTCCGTCTTAAGCCAGCTGCTGCGAGCTCTGCTTTAAATCCATTTGCATATAATATATATATATATATACATATTTGTATATATATAATGATATATATATATTTATATATATATTTATATATATATATATATTTATATATATATTTATATATTTATTTATATATATATATATTTATATATATATGTTTATATATATATATAAATATATATATATATAGTATATTTATATATTTATATATTTCTATTTATATCTATATATATAGTCTACACCCGTAATCTTGCACATCTTTATATTTAAATGATATTTATTTATAAAAGCCTCCACTGATTTTATTTGTTTTTCTTTTAAGTTCAAAAGGCCCAAAGAAAAGCCCACAGGGGCCCCCTAGCCACTTCCCGAGGGGCCCCCAGTGCCACCCAGAAGGCCCACTGGGCCCCCAAGAAGTAGCGGGGGGCCCCTTTGGGGCCCCTGTGGGGCCCCTTCTAAGACCCTTGTGGGGCCTCTTTTAGGACTCCAGTGGGGCCCCTGTGAGGCCTCTCTTGGGGCCCCCTACGGGTCCTCTAGGGGCCCCTGTGGGGCCCCTGTGGGGGCCTTGGGGGCCCCTGGGAGCCCCTGGGGGCCCCTGGGGGCCCCTGGGGGCCCCTGTGGGGCCCTTCGGGGCCCCTTTGGTGACGCTGGCGGGCCCCCCGTTGCATGCGCCCAAAGATATATAGGGTACTAACAATGGTGGGCTGTATACGTATATGGACTATATATATAATATATATATACATATATACATAATATACATATATATGTTTACTGATATATATGTCTATATATATATATATATTATATATATACGTGTCTATATATATATATGTAGTTATACATGTTTGTTTTTATAGCCCAAGCGCGAGTAATTCACAAGTTCTCTATACATTATATATATATGCATATATATATGCACACATATATGCACATTATATATATATACATATATAGACATACATATACATATATATATACCTCTATATATATGCATATATATATATATATTTATGTATACATTTGTACATAGATTTACATATATATATATATATATATATATATATATATATATATATATATATATATATATATATATATGTATATATATATTCATATATATATATATAGATGTGCATATTTATATATACATTTATATATTTATATATATATATATAGATATAATATACATATATATACATAAATGTACATATTTATACATATTTATATATATAGATGTACATATTTATATGTGCATTTATATATTTATATATATTTATATTTACATATTTACATTTACAATATTTACATTTATATATTTATATTTATATATTTATATTTTTATATTTATATTTATATATTTATATTTATATATTTATATTTATATATTTATATTTATATATGAAGACCTAATGGGTCAAGTCGGCTTGAGTGTATGTACAGGCAAACAAGGCTTGTCCTCCAGCCCAATTTGAATTTTGTTTAAAATGCATTTTTGTTTATTTGCATTCATGTCTTTAAAGAAATACTTTGCATGCTTTAAACTAGGAGATAGCTAGCAGGCTCCGCCGTAGCAGCAAAAGCAGCAGCAGCAGCAAGCGCAGCAGCAGCAGCAAACGCACAAGCAGCAGCAAACGCAGCAGCTGCAGCAAACGCAGCAGCTGCAGCAAACGCAGCAGCAGCAAAGGAAAAAGCAGCTAAAGCAGCAGCACCATACTTAGCAGGAGCAAAGCCAGGAGCAGCAGCAGCAAACACAGCAGCAGCAGCAAACGCAGCAGCTGCAGCAAACGCAGCAGCTGCAGCAAACGCAGCAGCAGCAAAAACAGCAGCAGCAACGACGGCAGCAAAGGCAGCGGCAGCAAAAGCGGCAGCAGCAAACGCCACAAACGTCTTAGCCACAGAGTCTGCACAGTCCTTTCCAAAAAAACCCCAAAGGGCTGCTGCTGCTGCAGCTGCTGCTGCTGCTGCTGCTGCTGCTGCAGCTGCTGCTGCTGCTGCTTCACTGCGCCGCTGCAGCCATGCCTAGCGCTGTTAACCCTGGGATTGGTGGGCCCCCAAGGGGGCCCCCCAACCTATTGGGGGGCCCCCACATCTTGGGCCTTCATAACGGAATGCCTTAGGGCCCCTTTGGGGCCCCGGGGGGCCCCTCAGGGGCCCCTGCGGGCCCCTCATGGGCCCCGGGGGGCCCCTCAGGGGACCCCGGGGGCCCCTTAGGGGGGCCCCTTAGGGGGCCCCTAGGAAGCCCAGCAAGCCCAGCAGGGGGGGCACTATAAGGGGAGGCTGCAGGGGCCCTCAGGGGCCCCTACGGGCCCTCTGAAACCTCCAGTGGCATATACTGTGCAGTGACTCTGGGGGTTCTGCTGCTGCTGCTGCTGCTGCAGCAGCAGCAGCAGCAGCATTTAAACCAATTACAGCGTATAAAACAACTCGAACAGATGCAGGGGCCCCCTACAGATTCAAAACCCCCTCAGGGGGGCCCCCCTTGCCATCTTATCTCTTGGGATCCCTTCAGGGCCTCCTGGGGGGCCCCAGGGGGCCCCAAGTTTGGGGGCCCCCTGACCCCTGAGGCCCCTTCCAGGGGCCCCTTAAGGGCCCCTGTGGGGCCCCATAAGGGCCCTTGGGGGGCCCCAAAGAGACCCTTTTTGGGGCCCCTAAAGGCACTGAAGAGAACCCAGTAATGGTAAAGTCTGGAGAGCCTTTTAGACCCTGGGGGCCCCCAAAATGCTGGGGCCCCCGGGGGCCCCCAGCACTTCAGAGGGCCTCCGGACCCCTTGGGGGCCCTCTAAAGGGCCCCCAAGTCACCACTTTGTGGGGCCCCTGGGGGCCCCACAAGAATTAAATTTGTGGGGCCCCTTGAGCTGCTTAAGAGCCTTTCAGGCGGCCCTTGAGGGCCTCTCGGGGGCCCCTTGGGAGTCCCTTGGGGGCCCCCAGGGGCCCCCTTGGGGCCCCCACGGCTACCCTTCAAAGCCCCCTAAGGTACCCTCAGGGGCCTCTCGGCGGCCCCTTGGGGGCCCCTTGGGGGCCCCTGGGAGGCCCCTTGGGGGGCCCCTTGGGGGCCCCTGGGAAGACCCAGGGAGGCCCCTTGGGGGCCCCTGGGGGGCCCCTTGGGGGCCCCTGGGGGGCCCCTGGGGGGCCCCTGGGGGGCCCCTGGGGGGCCCCTTTGGGTACATTTTGGTGAAATGGGAAAGGCAGCATATGGGGCTTCAGGGAATTCTTTTCCGCTGCCTCCGCCGGTACAGCAGCAGCAAGTTGAGGGCCAGCAGCAGCAGCAGCAGCAGCGCCAGCCTCCTGTACCGCAAGCAGCAGCAGCAGCAGCAGCAACAGCAGCAAAAGCAGCAGCAGCGTCAGTAGCCGCACAATTGTAAAGGAAGCAATACTACGAGCTCCTTTTTGGTGCAGCCGATGCTGCTGTTGCTGCTGCTGCTGCTGCTGCTGCTGCTGCTGTTGCTGCTGCTGCTGCTGTTGCTGTTGCTGCTGCTGCTGCTGCTGCTGCTGCTGACCTGATTCTCTCTACAAGTCTCAACAAAGCCTGTCTTGTGGACAAGGCCTCTACCTCGAAGCTGCCATTTTGCTGCTCGGCTTCATCCCCACTGCTGCTGCTGGTAGTGCTGCTGCTGCTGCTGCTGCTGCTGTTTCTGCTGCTGGTGGTGCTGCTGCTGGCGCTGTCTGCCGTGCTGCACTGGTCTTCGGGCAAGCAGACATCAGGCAGCAGCTGCTGCAGCAGCTGCTGCTGCTGCAGGCCGAGGACGTGGGGCGCAGCAGCAGCAGCAGCAGCAGCAGCGGCGAGGCCTTTGCCGGCCCTGCGGGCCGCAGCGGCGGCGCAGCCCGCGAGGCGCGCCCTGGCAGCAGCAGCAGCAGCAGCAGCAGCAGCAGCAAACGAACGCGCGCAGCCCCGCAGCGACACCAAGTGCTGCTGCAGCAGCAACGCGTGGCTGCTAATGTGATCTATAAAATAACTTTGTGCATGCAGCAAAGCAGAAGCTCGAGCCAGGCTTTCCATGGCGCCGCTGAGGTAAGAAGGTCCTGCAAGCACACGCCAGCAGCAACCTGCTGCTGCTGCTGCTGCTGCTGCTGCTGCTGCTGCTGCTGCGGCTGCTGCGGCTGCTGCTGCGGCTGCTGCGCTGCGGATGCCCTGCTGCGGCTGCTGCTGCTGCTGGCAGTGCTGCGGGTGAAGCCGCTGCTGACGGCCAAGGAGGCGGCAGCGCCGAGCTGCTGCAGGCGCTGCTGCTGCTGCTGCAAGTGCAGCAGCAGCAGCAACAGCAGCAAGTTCAGCAGCAGCAATTTCGCCGACGCAGCAAGCAAACAGCTTTGCGGCAAGGCGAACAGCAGCAGCAGCAGCAACGAAACAACGGCAACAGCAACAGCGAAAACAGCGGCAGCAGCAGCAGCCCACCCTTCAACAGCAGCAGCAAAGAGAGCAGCAGCAGCAGCAGCAGCAGCAGCAGCAAACTCACCACCATATCCCCCATAGGTCCAACTCCCATAACCCCCGTAGGGGGCCCCATAGTACCCTGTTCCTGCTGCATAGAAGGGCCCCAGGGGGCCCCCCTCGTAGCTGGGGGCCCCATGAGTTGCTGCATATAGAGAGGCATCTGCTGCTGCTGCTGCTGCTGCTGCTGCTGCACGGGGCTGCTGCTCGTACAAGGCAACGCCCGTGCTGCTGCTGTCAGGAGCAGCAGCAGCAGCAGGCGTTGCTGCTGCTGTCGGGCTAGCAGCAGGCAAGTTGTTGCTGCTGAAGGTGAAGGGCAGCGCCAGTGGCTGCTGCTGCTGCTGCTGCTGCCACGGCTTAGGCGGAGACTCCTCCATCGTCGCTGCTGCTGCTGCTGCTGCTGCTGCTGCTTCTGCAGCAGCTGCTGCTGCTGCTGCAGTCAACAAAGACAACTGTTGCGGCGTCTACAGGCCCCCTTAGAGCCAAAATGCCTTCCCCAGCTTGCTGCTGCTGTTGCTGCTTCTGCTGCCGCTGCTTCAGGTGCTGCTGCTTTTCCTGCTGCAGCTGCTGCTGCTGCTGCTGCTGCTGCTGCTGCTGCTGCTTCTCCTGGCTCACGAGAAGTTGCAGGCTGGGCGGCCTGGGTGGGCCCCACAGCAGCAGCAAATCGAGCAACTCCAGCTGTTGCTGCAGCCGCTGCTGCTGCTGCAGCTGCTGCTCCCGCAGCCACAGTAGCGGTCGTTGCTGCTGCTGCAGCAGAGGTAGCAGCAGCTGCTGTAGCTCCTGCTGCAGTGGCTGCTGCTGCTGCCGCGACAGCTGCAGCAGACGTCGTGGCGCGGGTGGCTGCAGCAGCAGCAGCAGCAGCAAAGTTTGCTGCTGCTCCCTCCCGCTGTGCAAACAGTGTACAGACACCCCAATCTGCGTTGCTGCTGCTCTTGTCGCTGCTGCTGCTGGAGCTGCAGGGCAGAAGCTTCAAAACAGAATCTACGTATGACCCCTGCTGCTGCTGCTGCTGCTGCTGTTGCTGCTGCTGCTGTTGCTGCTGCTGCTGCTGCTGTTGCTGCTGCTGCTGCTGCTGAACTAAGCCCTGCAGGGTTACCACTGTCGCAGCAATTCCATGGAAAATCGCTGTTGCTGCTCGAGCTGCTGCTTCAGTTGCTGCTGCTGCTGCTGCTGCTGCTGCTGGAAGCGCCACAGTTGGCTGTGCTGCACCTCCTTGTGCCCTCCTGCGGCGCCTCCACTGAGGCTGCTGCTGCTGCCACAGCTGCTGCTGCTGCTGCCACAGCTGTTGCTGCAGCAGCAGCTGCTGCTGCTGCCACTTTCCCGGTTCCTGCTCCCGATGCTTCCCTTGCAAGCCAGCCCATGCAGCTTGGAACGACTCGGTGTAACAGCTGCTGCTGCTGCTGCTGCTGCTGCCGCGGTTGCTGCTGCTGCTGCTGCTGCGGCTGCTGCTGGCGCACAGGCGAGAGGCAGCAGCAGAGGAGCCAAATGGCTCAACCTGTCTGGCTCCAGCTCTCCTTGTGTCACAAAAGGAACAGCCGTTTTGCTGTTGTTGCTGCTGCAGCTGCTGCTGCTGCAGCTGCTGCTGCTGCAGAGGCAGCAGCTGCTGCTGCTGCTGCGGCGGGGCAGCCGTGGAAGAGAGGCTAGTGCCGGTGTTTGGAGTCCGTGCCCCTTGGGGCATTTCTTATTATGTGCAAATAAAAAGGCAAGGCAGGTGCTGCTGCTGCTGCTGCAGCTGCTGCTGCAGTTGCTGCTGCTGCAATCTTCGGCTGGGGGGCCCTGCTCCCGAGGCGCATGCAGCAGGCCAGTGACCCTTCTGCTGCTTTGCTGCTTTGTCTCCCTCTTAAATGTCTAATTGACAAATTAAATATATTTGTAAGTTCAAAGAGTTCTGTTCTGACGCTAGTTGCAGTGTTAAACAAGCCGAAGCAGCAGCAGCAGCAACAGCAGCAGCTGCAGCAGCTCAACAGCCGCAGCAGCAGCAAGACACTGTCGATAACAGCAGTCCCGCTCGCGTGTTTTCCAGCTCTGACTTCGCCGTTTTAAAATAAATGTTAACTTTAAATTAAAAAATAAATTATTTTAAAGTTTTAGAAAATTAATTCAGCAAAAAGTTGCGCAGAAAGGCTGGTGAGTGCTGTTCGAGCGCTCCTGCTGCAGCAGCAGCAGGCGCGCAGCAGAGGGAAAGCAAACAAATAAAACTGAATTTAAAAAAGGAAACTTTTTATAAAAAGAAAAATGAAAATAATGCTGAAGACCGAAACGCAGGAGATGATAAGAAAGTAAGACAGTACACACAGGAGGTCTTGCTGCACACAGCAGCACGCAGCAGCACGCAGCAGCACGCAGCAGCGCGCAGCAGCACGCAGCAGCAAGCAGCAGCACGCAGCAGCACGCAGCAGCACGCAGCAGCACGCAGCAGCAAGCAGCGGCACGCAGCAGCAAGAGGCAGCACGCAGCAGCACGCAGCAGCACGCAGCAGCACGCAGCAGCACGCAGCAGCACGCAGCAGCACGCAGCAGCATGCAGCAGCACGCAGCAGCACGCAGCAGCACGCAGCAGCACGCAGCAGCACGCAGCAGCACGCAGCAGCACGCAGCAGCAGTAGCAGCAGCACGCAGCAGCAGCAAATAGAGAAAAAGCAGCAGCAGCAAATTCCATAAAAGGCTGCTAGTCTAGCTCGAGCTGCTGCAGCACAAGGGGCCCCAAAGAGCTTCACAGGGGGCCCCCCTTTCTCCCATTTTTGAATTTAATAAAAAATGCAAAAGAAAAGAAATAAATATTTATTTGATTTAATTAAAAATTCAGAAAATCGCTGCAGCGCATCTGCAGCGCCAATTTGCAGCAGCCCCACAAAGCAGTAGCAGCAGCAGCAGCGGTAGCAGCAGCAGCAGCAGCAGTAGCAGCAGCAGCAGCAGCAGCAGCAGCAGCAGCAAGCCTTGTGTTTTCCCAGCCAAACCCTCACCGGGCGCCATCGTTATAAAAGGCTTCAGAGTTGGTATTTTTGCTTTGTAGGGACATCGAGACTAAGAGCCAATGCCTTAACCCTAAACCCTAAACCCTAAACCCTAAATCCTAAACCCTAAACACTAGAATTTGGACCCGAAGACTTGCTGCAGAAGCTACACAGCAGCCGCTGTTCTTGGCTCTTCGAGACTGTGGGGGCATCAGTTCTGTGGGATAGAAAAAGCAGCAGCAGCAGCAGCAGCAGCAGCATCAGCAGCAGCAGCAGCAGCAGCAGCAGCCTCAGCAGCAGCAGCAGCAGCAAAGAGAGATGCGCCAAAGCAGGCTTTTCTGGGAGAAGGCCTGGCACTATAATTTTGCATGCAAGTTCTTTTTTGTGATTTCCCATTGCCCGCAAACTCTCTACCTGCTTCTAAACCCTAACGCTCAGGGTTTAGGGTTTAGGGTTTAGGGTTTAGGGTTTAGGGTTTAGGGTTTAGGGTTTAGGGTTTATGTGCTCAGTGGCCCCACGGGCACCCGAACCTCGAATTCTAAACTGCAGCAAAATAAATAAAAACCCACTTTGGGTACTTTCTAAGGCTTTCATTTATTTATTTATTTATTTATTTATTTATTTATTTATTTATTTATCTATTTATTTATTTATTTCAATTAATTTATTTATTAGAGACATTTGCTGCTGCTGGCAGCTCTTTTGAGGGTTTTCTTTTCAGTTAAATGCTGGTGAGTCCTGCTGCACTTAAAAGGCCCAGCAGCAAACCCTTTGGGCTCTTTAAATCTTTTCTTTGAGCCGAAAAAAGTGCTGCTGCTGCTGCTGCTGCTGCTGCTACTGCTGCTGCTGCTGCTGCTACTGCTGCTGCTGCTGCTGCTGTTGTTGCTGCTGCTGCTGCTGCTAGGCTGTTTGTGCTGTTTTGTTTTTGCTTCTGAGCGGCTTTTATATAGAAGAGGCTCTGGCAGCTGGAGGAGCCATTCGAGGGAAATAAAAGGACAAAATAAAGTTCGAAAAAGATAAAAATGGCAAAATAAAGTATTTAAATTTAGTTTTATTTTTATTTATTTGCCAGATTTGGCATTAAACCCTTTTTTTAATGCAGCTTCTGCAGTAGCTCAGGGTTTTCAAGAAGACACTTGAGTGAAAGCTCCTTCAAAAGCCACTAAACTCTCCACCATTTCAGCTGTTTTTAAATCTTTTTTAAATATTTTTAAAAGTATTTAATAACAGCTTAAATGGAGGAGAGTTTCGTGGCAGTTTTATTCGCAAAAAAACCCAAGAGGCCCCAGAAATGGCCCGGGGTTCCTTTGGGGGCCTCAGGGGCTCAGGGCGGCAAATCAAAAGCTAAAAACGCAGGAAAAGCTATTTTGTCCAAATATTTTGCCCAAATAATAAATTAATTTCTTTTTTGTTTTATTTTGGTGGTTAAACTGCTTTATTAAGCCAAGAATTGCCGTTTACGAGGCCATGTGTGCAGGCGGCGGCTAGCAGCTGGTGCAGTGTCTTCTGCTGTGGCGTGGAGGCTCCCTGCAGGCTCGTGTTTGAGTGAAATTAATTAAAATTTGAATTAAAAAAATGAAATAATTATTTTAATTATTTAAAGTGAAGAAAAAGGGGAATTTCCAGTGTAGCTACACCCGGGCGCGGCAGGCCGCTCAAGTGACCCGCGGCGGCGGCGGCGGCGGGCGACGGCCGCTGGGTTCTTTTCTTTCTTTTTTATCTTTTTATGATCCCTTTTATAATTCCGGAGATAATTTAGTTAAATGTTTTTGTTTTGGCAGTTGAATTCGAACAAATGAAGCGACCAAGCTGCAGCGCAAGTCCATGACACCACTGGTCTTCACTGGTCTTCAGCAGTGGACCCTGCGGGCGCAGCCGCCCTTTCTTGACAACTTAGCCAATTCTTCCATTCCATTTGCATGCAATTTATCTTTTTTTATTTATTTTTGTGTATTTTTCCAACATTTGGCAAAGCCTGGCCTCTGGGGCTTCCCTTTTGCAGGCAGGCAAACCCCCAAACCCTAAACCCCAGCCCCTCTCTCTAAACCCTAAACCCTGGGCCACAGGCGTGTCTACGAGAGCAACAGAAGGACTGGCAAGCGCTTGACGCAGCAGCAGCAGCAGCGGAAGCAGCAGCAGCAGCAGCAGCAGCAGCAGCGGCAGCAGCAGCAACAGCAGCAACATGGGAGGCTGCCACGGCAAAACCTGCCTAGAAGCTGGGGGGGCAGCGAGCCTTCCCAACGCTCCCGGCAGCAGCAGCGAAACAGCGACAAGCAGCAGCAGCAGCAGCAGCAGCAGCAGCAGCAGCAGCAGGCCCTCCGGCTCCATGCTTATCCTTCCGTTCTCCATATGCAACGGCTGCAGCAGCAGAGCAAGCAGCAGCAGCAGCAGCAGCAGCAGCAGCAGCAGCAGCGAGCCCGTCAGCAGCTGTCTCGTTAACAGCAGCACCACGCAAGAAAGCAGCGAGGGAGCAGCAGCAGCAGAAGGAGTCGCTGCTGCTGCAGCAGCAGGCCAGAGCAGCAGGCCTTCAGGAGCAGCAGCAGAAGCAGCAGCAGCTGCTGCTGCTGCAGGCTGCATGCGCCACGCAACCCCTGCTGCTGCGGCTGCCGCAGCCGCTGCAGCAGCAGCAGCAGCAGAAGCAGCAGCTGCTGCTGCCTCCCCAAATGAAGCCTTGTGGCCCATCTTTGAGCTGCGCATGCATGCAAATTCTGATGATTATTTTTCTCCTTTTGCTGCTGCTCTCCCGCTGCTGCAGCTCGAAGACAAAACCCTCAAAAGGCAGCTCAGGGAAAGAGCCACCAACTACGTAAACCCTAAACCCTAAACCCTAAACCCTAAACCCTAAACCCTGGCTGCCCGCCTGTCAACTCTCCTAAACCCTAAACCCTAAACCCTAAACCCTAAACCCGGGCCCTTAACGCCGAAGCCCGAGTTCCTTAACCCTGATTAGTAAACCCTAATTTCTAAACCCTAATTCCTAAACCCTACTTTCCAAAGCCTTATTACTAGACCGTAGCTGCTAAACCCTAATTTCTAAACCCTAATTGCTAAACCCTAATTTCTAAACCCTAGTTCCTAAACACTAAACGCTCAACCTAAGCCACTTCTTCGTAAACCCTAATTTCTAAACCCTAACCCTAAACCCTAATTCCTAAACCCTAGCTCTTGAACCCTAATTCCTAAACCCTAAGAGGGCCATCAACCTCGCGCCCACAAACCCTAGGCGGGTTTGCGTTTAGCTGCCACTGCTTTTGCCGCTGCTGCTGCCGCCGCTGCTGCTGCTGCTGCTGCTGCTGCTGCTGCTGCTGCTGCTGCTGCTGCTGCTGCTGCTGCAGGTGCTGGCAGCAATGGAGAACTGCATGCATGACCGCCATGTCTTCCGCATTAGCTATTCCCCCAAGTACACGGACGACGCGTTTGAGTACAGGCAAGCCCTAAACCCTAAACCCTAAACCCTAAACCCTAAACCCTAAACCCTAAACCCTAGGATCTAAACTCTTTATTCGAAGCCCCGCGCCCTGGGTTCTAGGGTTTAGGGTTTAGGGTTTAGGGCTTAGGGTTTGGAGTGCAGGCTTTGAGGTTGAAGCGGCATAAGTGCACAGCAGCAGCGCCATTTCTTTTTGCTGCTGCTGCTGCTGCTGCTGCTGCTCATTGGGTTGAAAAGCAGATTCTAGGGTTTAGAACTGCAGCTAGCAGTGCTTGGGTCGGATACTGATGCTTTAGGGCTTAGGGTTTAGGGTTTAGGGTTTAGGGTTTAGGGTTTAGGGTTTGCGTTTGTTGGCTTTGCAGGGTTGTTTCTTTGCCTTTGGACCATCCCTTTCTGCAGCTGCCGCAGCCAATTGTCCTCAACTTTGCTGCTTCTCCTGCTGCTGCTCACTTCGTAGTTGCTGCTGCTGCTGCTGCAGGCAGCAAGCTCGGGCTGCTGCAGCGCGCGTTCCCTTCATCCGTTGCTGCAGCACCTGATGCCGGCGGCCCCAGTGCTGCTGCTGCTGCTGCTGCTGCTGCTGCTGCTGCTGCTGCTGCGCCCCCTGCTGCTGCCAGCGAGCCGCCTCGAAGGCATGCTCGCCCTGAAGGGGCTTCAAGCAGCGCTGCTGTGCCAGCAGAATCGCAGGCCCCACCTGCTGCTGCTGCTGCTGCTGCTGCTGCTGCTGAGCGCGCTGCAACGGCGAGGACAGCAGCAGCAGCAGCAACAGCAGCTGACGAAAGTGCCTGTGGGGCACCAGAGAGTGCGCTTAGTTCCGCAGCAGTTAGTGCAGCAGAAAGTGCCGCTGCTGCTGTTGCTCAGGCAGAAGCAGCAGCAGAAGAGTCCCCTGCTGCTGCTGCTGCAGTTTCAATGGTTTTCGAGAGGTCGCTGCAGCTGCCAGAAGCAGCCTGGCGCAGCCTAGGGGTGAGCCTAGCTAGCTAGCCACATGGCTAGCTAGCCACACAGCTAGCTAGCCACGAAGCTAGCTAGCCAGGCAGTTAGCTTGCCACATAGCTAGCTAGCCACATAGTTAACTAGTCACGCAGCTAGCTAGCCACATAGATAGCTAGCCACGCACACCACAGCAGCTGCAGTTCGGGCGAAAGAGATCCTCACAAACGCTAAGCAGCAGCAGCAGCAACAGCAGCAGCAGCAGCAGCAGCAGCAGCAGCAACAGCAGCAGCAGCAGCAGCAGCAAAGATATCTGAAGCTGCTGCGTTGTGAGGCTTCAGATTCGCATGAGTAAGGGCTGGGTGCACACGGGCACGAGCATCCACGAGTCTAACACCTTCTTATTCGCCAGGTGAAGTCCGCAGCAGCAGCAGCAGCAGCAGCAGCACAAGCAACAGCAGCAGAAGCAGCAGCACAAGCAACAGCAGCAGAAGCAGCAGCAGCACAAGCAGCAGCAGCAGAAGCAGCAGCAGCAGCAGTAGCAGCAGCAGTAGCAGGAGGAGCAGCAGCAGTAGTAGAAGCAGCGGTAACACCTGGAGGGATAGCAGCAGCCATAGAGGCAGTAACAGCAGCAAGAAGAACAGCAGCAGCAGCAGCAGCAGCAGCAGATCCTGCTGCTTATGTGGGACTTGGCGGCTTAATGAAGACCGTATGACAGGGCGGCGTTTCCAGCTTTGTGGCTCCGTGTCTGCTTCTGCTGCTGCTGCTTCTGCTTCTGCTGCTGCTGCTGCTACTGCTACTGCTACTGCTGCTGCTGCTGCTGCTGCTGTTGCTGCTGCTGCTGCTGCGGCTGCTCTTTTCGCAGGCCGTTAAACACCGACGGCTGCAGCGGCTTGGCTCCCCCGTCCTGTTTGCTGCGGGCGCAGCAGCAGCAGCAGCTGAAGCGCGTAAGGCTGCTGCTGTCTTTCCTGCTGCTGCTTTTCATTTTTATTTTTGATTTAAATTTATTTCACTTCTGTTTTCTATTCTCCATTACAGTGTATGTACACTCCAGAATGCGCTGAGGTGTACGTACACCTGAAAACGTCGAGCTGCAATATGCGCATGCAGCAAATGAAATATTTTTTATTTTTACTTTCGGATTCGCTGCAAACATCTGTATAAGCATGTGCTGCGAGCACCTGGCCCACTTATTACTGCTGCTGCTGCTGCTGCTGCTGCTGCTGCTGCTGCTGCTGCTGCTGCAGCGGCTGCTGGAGGCGTTCGCAGACGACGCGCTAAGAGCAGCAACTGGGGGGCCCCCCAGTACCCCCAGTGCTGCTTTTGAGGCCCCTGTGGGGCCCCCCTGGCCCCACAGTTTATCAAATAAGGAGGAAAAGAGGGTAAAGAGGCAAAGACACAGAGGCAGCAAGCTGCAGCAGCAGCAGCAGCAGCAGCAGCAGAAGGGAGAAGCAGAATGCAGCAGCACGAGGACGCAGCCTGCGGAAGTGCTGGAGGAAGATCCTTTTGCTGCTTTTTATATTTTCAATTTTAAAAACAAAAGACAAAAAATCAAAAAAGATGAACAAAAGTGCCCAGCGGCCCGTTGGGGTCCCCCCAAGCCTGCAGCAGCAGGCCAGAAGCAACAGCAGCAAAAGCAGCAGCAGCAGCAGCAGCAGCAGAAGCATGCCCTTGCTTTCGGAGCTCTAGGCTGCTTCCAGAGAGACAAAAGGGCCCCCAAAAGGGCCCCTTGCTGCTGCTGCTGCAGGTGGGCGTTTTGCTGCTTGCATGCAGCGCCAAAGTTGGGCTTTGGGGGAGTTGTGGGGTTTGCTGCGGGCTGAGGTGTACGTACACCCCACGCGCGGCGCGCTGCGGCTCTTGGGGTGTTTTCTTTTTGCAAATGGGGTGTACGTACACCTGAATAGCTCCTTCTAGATGCACTTTTGCATGCAATTTGTTTTTAAATAATTGATTGAATTTGCAGAAGTTTTCTTTTTTGTTTTATTTTGCATTTGGGGTCTGGATTTGCATGCGCGGGGGCGCAGCCACTCGGAGCTGTCTGTACACCCCAACGGCCCTTGCATGCGCTGCTGCCTGTGCTGCTGCTGCTGCTTTGCTGCTGCTGTTTTGCTGCTGCTGCTTTGCTGCTGCTGCTTTGCTGCTGCAGCACGCTTTTAAAACCTGTATCTGCTCCGCTGCCGCCTTGGGCCATTCCAGGGCTGCTCGTGGCTCACTGCAGCAGCAGCGGGAGCGGCAGCAGCAGCAGCGGGAGCGGCAGCAGCAGCAGTGGGCGCTGCAGCAGCAGCAGCAGCAACAACCAGGGAGTTCCCCGCTGGTGCTGCTGCTGCTGCAGGGATGCTGCAGAGGAAAGGCCATGCAAGCAGAGCCAGGCCGAAGGCCAGCCGTGGGACGCCCCAGCTGCTGCAGCTGCTGCTGCTGCTGCTGCTCCTGCTGCAGCTGCTGCTGCAGCAGCTGCTGCAGCGCCTGCTGCAGCTGCTGCTGCTGATACCTTCAAAGTGGTGAGCGCCGTTAGTGCAGCAAATAAGAGCAGCAGGCTGCCATTAATTGCATGCATTTATTTTTAAATATTTTAAATTAAATTATTTAAAAATGGGACTATTAAAGCCTGCAGCAAATATGTGCATGCATTCCGCATGCAGGGGCGCCTTTCACTATATCTGCCCCTATACATATATATACAGATATTTATTTATTTGTTTTATTATTTATTTTATTCATTTATTTATTTTATTTATTTATTTTATTTATTTATTTATTTCAATTATTAATATTGAAGAAATAAATATACTTAATATTGTATGTTTTGAGCATTTAAAGTTGTGCAACTTTAAGCATGCAGATTTGCTGCCCCACACTTTGCTGCGCTGCTGCTGTACGTACACCCCAACTATGCATGCATGCCTGCAAACAGGCACAGTAGCTTCCCAAGAGCAGCAGCAGCAGCAGCAGCAGCAGCAGCAGCAGCAGCAGCAGCAGCAGCAGCAGCAACGGGCTCTTCACTTGTTTTATGGCTTTTCTGCTTCAGAGTTTTATCGCTGGGGTGCAGCAGCAGCCTCCCGACAGCAACGGCTTCGACCACTTCTTGCTGGAGCTCTACCCCCTGCAGCAGCAGCAGCAGCAACAGCAGCAGCAGCAGCAGCAAGATGCCGAGAAGCAGGAGCAGCAGCAGCAGCAGCAGCAGCAAACAGCAAGCGCAAGCAAAGCTGCTTTGTTCTCTGCTGTGCTGCTGTCGCCTTTGCTGCCGCGGGCCCTGGCACTTGGGGGCTACAGCGGGCTGCTGCCTCTTAGCCTGCAGCATTTGCTGCTGCTGCTGCTGCAGCAGCAAAGCAGCAACAGAGAGAAGGCCGAGTCCCTCATGTTGGGACATGAAGTAGGCTTGAAGCAAAAGAGAAGGCAGCAAACCTCAGTCATGTGCCGCTGCTGCTGCTGCTGCTGCTGCTGCCCCTTCCAACTATGCTGCTAGCTGCTGCTGCTGCTGCTGCTGCTGCAGCCACTTCTATTTCTGCTGCTACCTGCTGCTGCCGCTGCTGCTGCTACTGCTACTCCTCCTTCTTCTGCCACCTGCTGCTGCCGCTGCTGCTGCCGCTGCTGCTGCTGCTGCTGCTGCTGCTGCAGGCTGTGGTGCTGGGAGTGGGCCCCATGCGCGGGCGGCGCGGCTTTGTTGCTGCTGTTGACAGCAGCAGCGGCGCTGCGCTGCTGCAGCTGGCAGCAGAGGGGGAAGTGGTAGCAGTGAGGTGTACAGACACCTACTTGCTGTCTTCCTTCAGCGAGCGCATGCTGCTGCTGCAGGCGTAGCTGCTGCAGCAGCGCTGCTGCTGCAGCACAGGCTGCTGCTGCAGCAACACGCAGCCTGTGCTGCTGCTGCAGCACAGGCTGCGTGTTGCTGCTGAAGCAAGTGCTGCTGCTGCAGGTGCCGCTGTTGCAGCATATGCACATGCTTGCGCAGCATGCGTTGCTGCTGCTGCGTTTGCTGCTGCTGCTCAGCGTGCTGTTGCTGCAGCTGCAGTCTCAGCAGCAGCTGCTGCAGCCTCTGCTGCATTCTCAGCAGCAGCTGCTGCAATCTCTGCTGCAGTCTCAGCAGCAGCAGCTGCAGACTCTTCTGCATCCTCAACAGCAGCAGCAGCAGCAGCTGCTGCTGCTGCAGCTGCTGCTGCAGCTGCTGCTGCTGCTGTCTGCGTCGCTTTGGTCTAGGAGCCGCAGAGGCGAAGCAAAAGGAACTTTTAGGATTTTCCAGCATTTGTTTAGCAGCAATTTGGCATTTATCTTTTCAGAAATACTTTTGAATTTTCTTTTTTCGAAATGCTCTGCTGCCTTCTGCGACACAACTGCTTTTGCTGCAGCAGCAGCAGCTGCTGCTGCAGCTTTTAATGTATTAGTACTTTCTTTTGCTGCTGCAGCAACTTTCATTTATTCTACAAGTGCTTCCTTTTGCTGCTGCAGCAACTTCCATTCATTTTACAACTGCTGCTTTCTGCTGCTGCAGCAACTTTAATGTATGAGTCCTCCCTTTTGCTGCTGCAGCAACTCTTATTCTAAAAGTGTTTCCTTTTGCTGCAGCAGCAACTTTCATTCTAAAAGATTTTCCTTTTGTTGCTGCAGCAGCTTTTATTCTGCAGCTGTTTCCTTTTGCTGCTGCTGCAGCTCTTATTACACAATTGCTTTCCTTTGCTGCTGCAGCAGCTCTTGTTTATCCTAAAAGTGTTTCCTTTTGCTGCTGCAGCAACTTGCTGCTGCTGCAGCAGCTCTTATTTTGTGATTGCTTTCTTTTGCTGCTGCAGCAACTTTTACTTATTCTAGAGAAACTCTTTTGAGTCAAGCCGACAATAAAAAGAAAATAAAAAGAAATAAAGAAATAAAAAAATTAAAAAGAATATAAGGAATTAAAAAAGGTGAAAAGAATTAAAAAGGAATTAAAAGGAATTAAAAAGAATTATAAAAAGAATTTAAAAAGAACTAAAAGGAGTTATAAACAAAACTATAAAAGAATTAAAAAAAGAAAAGAAAAAAGAATATAAGAAACTACTGTCTCAAACTGAAAATGCGAATTTGCAAAAAGGTCAAAAACTAAATTATTCAAATTTTAATTGGATTCTGCTCATTATATTATTTAAATATATATTTTAATTATAAGCTGTTTATTACATTTCTTTAATTATATTTGCCAAATTTTATTTTATTTCATTTGTTTGTTATGTTAGCTTATTATATTTGTGTATTATACTTAAGTATGCCAATTTATTATTAATAACTATATAGGTATATATATAATCCATATGTAGAAAATGTATGTATTTATTCTATATATATACATACATATATATATATATATATATATAATAGATTCACTTATATATAATATACACATCTATATATATATTTATACATATGTTTATACATATATTTATATACATATATATATATATATACTGGAGGTATATATATATGTACAGTATGGATATAAATATATATTATAAATACGTGTAAATATAAATGCACCTGCAAGTACTAATACAAAGGCACAGCTGCGAAATATATATGTATATACATATACATATATATATCTTTATATATATACAGATATATATGTCTATATATGCATAAGTACATATATATATACATATAGATATATACATATATAGATATTTAAAATATAAATATATATATACATAAACACATATATATATACACACTATATATAATATATATACTATATATATATATACATATATACATATACACATATACACACACATATATACATATGTAAACGATGCGGAGATGTAAATACACCTAAAAGTATTTTAACGGATTGTCCTTAACTGCACATATTTACTCAAGTTGTAAAAATATAGGAAGCATGTATATATATATATAATATATATTATATATAATATATATAATATGTTAATATGTATATATATATTAAACATTGATATATAATATATATAAATATATATATGTATATGCATATATATATGCACATTCAACCTATACGTATATATATATATATAAATATATATCTGCTACGTTTTTTCACAGTATAGATTCATATATTATATTTCTGCACTTACACAAATATGTATATGATTAATGATGGAAATATATAAAAGGATTTTAAACAAGATTTGTGTATATACATACACACATATATATTATATAAATGCATATACATATAAATGTACATTAAATATATGTATATATAACAAAATCTAAACTTGACAAATATACATACACATATAACTACATTTATACATATATAAATGTATATATATATACATAGATGTATATATATATATACATAGATATACATATACACACACACACATATATATATATATATATATATATATATATATATATATATATATATATATATATGTTTACATATATATATATATATGTTTACATATATATATATATAGATATATATATATATATAAATGTTTATATATATATATTAGCAAAAAATGCAAATAGAACACAATTTGAAGTGAATAAATATACAGCAAAGACATATATGGAGAGTTATAAATAGAAAAAAACTTCGTGATATCTACAAGAAATGTGCATTATTCATATTTAGAAGTTAAATTAGAAAATCTTGTATATGATTAATGATGGAAATATATAAAAGGATTTTAAACAAGATTTGTGTATATACATACACACATATATATTATATAAATGCATATACATATAAATGTACATTAAATATATGTATATATAACAAAATCTAAACTTGACAAATATACATACACATATAACTACATTTATACATATATAAATGTATATATATATACATAGATGTATATATATATATACATAGATATACATATACACACACACACATATATATATATATATATATGCATATATATATATATATATATATATATATATGTTTACATATATATATATATATGTTTACATATATATATATATAGATATATATATATATATAAATGTTTATATATATATATTAGCAAAAAATGCAAATAGAACACAATTTGAAGTGAATAAATATACAGCAAAGACATATATGGAGAGTTATAAATAGAAAAAAACTTCGTGATATCTACAAGAAATGTGCATTATTCATATTTAGAAGTTAAATTAGAAAATGAATATTTATATAAATATATATATATATATATATTTGTGTTATATGGATTAGATTATGTAAAAGGTATTGAAATTATATTGCACACAATATAAATATCATATATATAATTTATATTAAATAAATTCTCTTACATTCAATATATATATATAAATATCATATATACTATTAGAGCGAATAAATACAAATAAAATTGATATATACTTTTAATATATTTATGCATTATTAACACTTCATTTATGTTAAATACATTATGTGCAATATATATAAGACATATTATTATTTTGTATAAATTATATTAAATATATTTAACATATTTAAAACAAGCATTTTGTTTACTTTATTCAAATTAATCACAATCTAATGCTAATTAAACTCATTATATACTTATATATATATTTATTTATATGCAGATTGGACACAGCTATATATATATATATATATATTTATATATTTATATATATATTTATGCAGATTTATATATTTGTATATTTGTTTATTTATACGAAGATTGCACGCAGCTATATATATTTATATATTTATATACATTTATTTACTAATATGCAGATTGAACACAGCTATATATACTTATATACATATATATATATATATATATATTTATATATTTATATATATATATATTTACATTTATATATTTGTATATTTATTTATATGCAGATTGCACACAGCTATATAAAACGTATTTATATATTTAAATATTTATTTATTTAATGTAAATTGAACACAGCTATATATAATATATTTATACATTTATATGCAGATTGAACGCAGCATATAAATAATAAATATATTTCCACTTTATATTTGTTGCAGATATAAATATATAAACAAATAAATTACTTTTTGCTTATTAAAGGCAACTATTCGGGCAATATATTTCCATAACAGGTAGTCCATACATAAGCATTATATATATATACACATTACTACAATACATGTATACACATACATATACATGTATACATATATACATATATATATATATATATAAATACACATATATACATATATATATATATATAGTTATATATATTATTACTACATATATATATAGTCTATTAATACATATATATATATATATGTATATACAGTTATATATATTACTACTACATATATATATATAAATATACATACAACTATATTTACATATGCACATGTATGTGTATACAAGGATATAAAAGTATATAATACATTTATAAGTATATATACCATATATAGATGTGTATATATATATATATATATATATATATATATATATATTTTTATACATATATATATATATACATCTATATACAAAAATGACATATATATATATATTTACATATATATATATGTATTCTTATATATCATTTTTTGCAGATAAAGTGCAGCAAATGGCAAATGCGATTTGGAAGCCTTAAAGAGAGCAAAGAAATAAAAGGCAAATTCCCACTAAGACTCACTGCACGCATTGCCCACTCATTAGCTAGCTAGCTAGCTAAACAGTAGCTAGCTAGCTAGCCAGCTAAACAGTAGCTAGCTAGCTAGCTAGCTAAACAGTAGCTAGCTAGCTAGCCAGCTAGCCAAACAGTAGGTAGCTAGCTAGCCACCCAAACAGTACCTACCGAGCTAAATAACCAGTAGCTAGCTAGCTATATAGCCACTGGCCAGCCAGCTAGCTATCTAGCCTGCAGCTAGCTAGCTAGTTAGCTAGCCAGCTAGCTACCGAGTGCCACTCAACAGCTAGCTAGCCAGCCACCTCACCTAGTGGCTACATCTGCAGCAGCTAGTTGGTCCATACAAACTTTGGCTAGCTGTTGGCTAGCTAGCTAGCTAGCTGTCAGCTAGCTAGCTGGCTAGCTAGCCAGCTAGCCACTAGCTAGCGACGGACTCAAAAGGCCAATAAGGATCTACTGAAGCTGCCTCATCTGTCTAAACTGCAACAGCGCCTCTGCCTCCCAGCGCCGTGCTGCTGCTGCTGCTGCTGCTGCTGCTGCTGCAGCAGCAGCAGCAGCAGCAGGCTGCTGGGTTGTTCTGCGAGGCGGAAGAGAGCCAAGCGGGTTATGGTGTTGAGTTGCGCACAGGCCGTTTCGGCGAGGTGTACGTACACCGCAGCCTTGTGAAGAAAAAACTAAAACTGATAAATCCATCATTAAACATTTTTACATTTTAACATTTTTACATTTTACATTAACATTTTAATCCCTCTCTATTGTGGTGGCGGCGAGCCGCTACGACTGCAACAGTCGAGGGGCTGTGCTTCCCGCGAGGGGGGCACAGCCAGCAGCAGCAGCAGCAGCAGCAGCTGCTGCTGCTGCTGCTCCCGCCAGCAGCAGGCGCTGCTGCTGCTGCTGCGTACCGACAGACAGCAAAACAGATATCTCCCCACACTGGCGAACTTTGCTTCCTCGCGCCCCTGCTGCTGCCCCCTTCGCCCCACGCATGCTTAGCTGCTGCTGCTGCTGCTGCTGCTGCTGCTGCTGCTGCTGCTGCTGCGAGAGGCGCAGCAGCTGTGCGTACACCGCAGCGGCGCGGCGAAGCTGCTTCGGGGCCAGACCGCACTCATGCCATATACACTGTATACAACATATGGAGTACATACACTGTGAAGTTCAGAATGTAATTTGAATTCATTTAATAATTCATTTATATCTTTTATTTCAAGAAGCATTCCGTGGAGTGGGTGCAGCGGGGAAGCTGGGGCGCGCGGAAGCAGCCACAGAGCCCGCGGCCCGGCCCCGAGCCAAAACCCCCGGGGCCTCGTGCTGCTGCTGCTGCTGCTGCTGCTGCTGCTGCTGCTGCTGCTGCTGCTGCTGCTTTCCGGGGTCGGCAGCAGCAGCGGGGGCGGCGGCGGCGTGCGGGTGTGTGTGGCGTTGGTGCTGCTGGGGCGGGGCGGAGCAGCGGCTGCCGCGCGGCAGCAGCTGCTGCAGCAGCTGCTGCTGCTGCAGCAGCAGCAGCAAAAGCTGGCCTACTGCCCCGCCTTGTTCTTCTTATAAGCCGCCACCTCCTTCTGATATCGCTGCTTGTCTGCTTCTGCCTTTTTCTCGTAGGGGGCCTTCTGGGAGGGCGACAGCTTTTTCCACTCCTCGCCAACAAGTGCTGCGATCTGCGTGGCGGACTTCACGTTGGGGTTTTTTTTGCAGATTTCCTCTCTCTTGTCCTTCATAAAGAAAATATAAGCCGGAGTGCCGCGCTTAGGAGCGTCAGGGTCCTTTTTTGCGCGAGTTCGTTTGGTGGGTTTGGCTGCCTTGGCTGCTTTCTTGGGCGCCATGGTGTCTGCTGTCTGTACACCCGAGGAGTGCGGCGGCGCTGGGCGAGGCGGGGAGAAACTCGGAGGCGCAACAACCCCAAACAAACGCAAACTAAATGAAATATTCTACTTTTAATCAACAAACACTAGCAGCAACACCCACCACGGGACCCAGACGAAGGGGGGAGAGGGGAGGTGGCGTGCTGCCGCCGCACCGTACTGTGCTAGTATGTATGGCTGCTGTGGCACAGCAGCCGACACCTGCACCTGCAATTTCCCCCCATTTTCGCCGCTCAAATCCATTTCTTATTCTTTTTTCCAAATCCCCTGCACTTTTACACGCATTTTAACCCCAAAAGCACCCGTTTCTGCCGAGCTTCGCCCACATCTCACCCCCAGGTGGGCTCCGCGGCCGGACGCCCCGCCCGCTGGACTGCGCAATTGATTAGTCCTACACCCAAAAGCACCCCCCCAAAGACTCTAATTAAAACAATTAAATATTCTAGTTGGGCTCTGCACAGACTTTAGCGCAGTTTCAGCCTCCAGCTGCTGCAGCGCCAGCCCGCAGCAGCACATTGAAGCGCCCGACAGCTTCCAATTTCGCTGCTGTGTGCGGCTCAGGCCCAACTCACTTAATTGGGCCATTCCAGCCCCTCCAAAAGGCCCCTCTAAGGGGGCCTTTTCGCTGTGGGCAGCAGCTGGTGCGGGACTTGCCTTAAAGCCCTTACTGTTGCTTTCTCAAGAGCTTTTCTACTAGAACTAGACTCCCCAGGCCACAGTTGAGAGTTGGGGCCCCCCTTTTGCTTTTCCCAGCTGCCTCTACTCTCCCGAGCTTTTAAACTTGCCCTTAGAAGGCTCTTCTGCCCTCCAGGGGGCCCCCAGCTCCAGCCTTCTTGTGTGCTGCAGTTGGCCTGGGGGCCCCCAGTAGTAATAGCTGAGCAGGGGGCCTCTTAGCTTCACTTTTAGCTCAGATCGATTTCTCCAAACTCTCCCAAAATTTTCGCTCTCCCGCACAGCTCTTTTCCTCAGTGTGTGTGGCTCAGTGCCACTTTCCTCTGAACCCTTTCAGTATTTCTAATTGGCAAACTCTTGTTTATAATTCGCCCCAGCTGCTTCTGCTAGCTGGAGGCTGCAGCTGCTGAATTGTTCCTTTCCTCTTCTTTATTTTCTCTAAAGTGCCAGCACTTGAGCCCCCGAGCCTTTAAGTTTGCCTTCGAGCTCATCACACTAGTTCTTGCGCAATGATTCCTAACGCTGCGTACTTCGCGCACTTAGCGCAATAATCTTATTTCTAAGATCCTAACCGATTTTCAAATTACTTTCAGGCCCCTACAGCGCAATTGGGAGCAGAACTGAAGCAACACGAGTCCAGTCTCACCATCTCCTTAAGATATGTTAGCAAGCTATTTCGTTTCAATAACTACAGAAACGCTTCCAGCTACAAGTGGATTTTTAGAGAGAGATTTGAAGGTTTTAGAAAGACAATTATATCAGACAATTATCTCAGACACAGAGAAGCAATTATCTAAATCCTTGGCGACAGGCATTCAGGAAAGCAGTGAGTCATAGAACTTCACATTCACATGCACATAGTAAGCTATTCAGTGAAGTGCCCGTTTTCTGATCTTTAGAAAGTAACTTAAGTGTTTAATTGCTCAGGGGCTTTGTGTGTGTAGCGGATCTCAAGCCAGGCGGCGAGCCAGGTAGCTGCTTTCTGCAAAGTATCTAAAAATGAATGCTATTGCGGAAGTCCCACCAAAATATTTCTCTTCAGAAATAAATTTAATCTGATGCCGCACTAGTTGTTCCTGTGTAATTCACTAAAAAGCTGTATCGGACCTGCAGGAAGGGCAAGCTTACTAGCAAGAAGGTCACTGAATATCTCATGGCAGCACCTACGGGGATCAAAACAATTTCCTTGGTTTTTAACACTTACTTAGAAGCAAGGCTGAGTTTTTACATTATGGAAATAGCTCTCCCGTTATAATGGAGTTAGCTGTATTCGAGTGGTTCACAAATGGAGTCACATATGTCCTGGTTTGCTGTCTGTTAAATTGCTTTCCAGCCTCATAAATACTAACAAGGAGAAAAGTGATCTGGGCAAATATCAGTAAAAGCTGCCCTCATGTCTTTGAGTTTTTTTTGCTTGAGAAAGAAACAGCAATCGCTTCCACTGTGACTGAAGCTTACAATTGCATTGCCGCATTCGGCCCCCAAGTCCACACAGCGCATGCAGACAGTCTACAGCATCCCAACAACACGGTGCTGTACTGTTAATTACATTTTCGTAATTATGTACAGATGTTCCAACTTGAGAATGGTTCTTAGCGTGCCTTAGTGCATTCCAGCTCAGATGGCCCACGATCTCACGCACACACAAGCTAACAGAATTAAAAGAAGTGTTACTGACAAATCGCCTTTATAAGATTAGCTACAGCCTACATGCACGGGACAGAATGTGACTGCGCTGCCTCAAGGCTTAAACGGCGGTAGAAGCACTGGGACGCTTTTTATTGTAGCATCACAGAACTCTTCAAAGTGAATCTCCAAAATACTTCATGCCCCAGTTGCCTTGGCGAGCCGGAGGCGCTGGGTAATTGCTGAGCAAAGCCGCAATGTAGAATCGGCTTCCGCTGCTGCTGATGCCTGATGCATCTACTATTATTGTTATCGCTGCTGGGGCTGTTGCTGCTAGTATCGTTAAGAGCTTTTCGCATGAGCGAAGGTGAAAAGGCCAGCCCCCTGCGAATTTAAGAATATAAAAGGACTAGCAGCCACCTAGTGAAACATGAAGAATTTTTCAAGCAAACTAAACGCCAGCTGGCTCTATTGGCTAGAATGGAGCTCTATAAAGCAAAAATTGCACTGCTCATGATCTCAGGCAACTGGCTTGCTGGCCTGTTTGTACCAAAACTCATGGGTGTCAGTGCTCCACACTATTTCGGCAAATCACGAGTTACTGAACATCACGAAATTTTCTCGTTCGTTCAGCAGGCAGGGCTTTTTTAGAATAAAAACATGTAGAGAGTCCTTACCTAGCGCCAACTAGGGCTCGTTGGCAAAGCTTAGAAGACAGAATCGCATTTAGCCGCTCAGAAGCTTGCAGTGATCAAGTGTATAAAATGAAGTATCGAGTTTGACAGAACCCTTTGTCATGAGCTTTTTCCGAATGCATTGACTCACTTTGAGAAGCTTTCTTCTTCTTTTTCAGCTTGCTCTGCACTGGCATATTCTCCGTGAATGAGCTCTCTGGAGTCTGCTAAGGTCTTGACTTTCTAACTGCTTTATCCTTGCTCTTACATTGGTTATATTGGCTCCTGTTGGCTCTGAATAAATGCGAATCAAGTAGCCTGTAGTGTGAATGCGTGAGGCACTATGGCTGACTTGTTGCTTGATAAGCAAGCACTCAGTCGATTATTTCCTTCGTAAGATCTTTAGGAAATTGTGAAGCCACGCGGGCTGCACCGTTACTGTGGTAGCATTTCGCTACGCCGTTGGCTTAGAATATAAGCGTGCTAATTGGGTGCAAGATTTTCGTGAGCTGCTGTGATAGAGCTTCTCCAAGTCAATACTGGCTTCACCACAGAAGTAACAGACTATGGTCAGTGTGAACTTGACAGGCCATGCGGTATGCGGTGGAAGTGGAAGAGAACATGAAAACAGTGCTTCATTTTTAGAACTAGCAGGAAAAATACTGAAAGATTTGGTTCATAATGAAGGGAAGAGAAGCCGTGAAACAAAGGACACGCAACAGCTGGCCACCTTTTGCTGATTGAGAGGATGCAGACTCAGCTACAGAGAGCAGAGGGAAACAAGATAATAGTTTAGCTAAGATATTTTCAATGAAGTTTCACAGTTGTGTGTCTAGCTGCTGAGCGCATCTCACTGATAGCTTTGCAGATATATTTTTCTTGTGGTCTCTCACTCATTTTTCAGCAATAATGATTGAATATGTATTTGTCGCCACTAAAAAAGAAATTCCATCTGACTAAAAATAATTTCATCAAGAACGCAGGCAATTAGGCCAATCAAAGGCAAAGGATTTTGGTGATGAGCTACGTTGGGCGCCTCTGGGAATAGAAATACTTATTCGGCGAATACTTTGGAGATTTGGCAAACTGTTGAGCTGTAACGGAACATTTTTATTCAAAAAATGTTAAGGGAAAGAAATACTTCACCGAATTCAGTGATGTAATTGGGAGTTTCCCACCACCTGCATGCTGTGAGGAAGATGATGCAAAAGTGGACGCGCCAGCCCTGACGCGGCAAAGACAGCACCTAACAAGTTTTCTTTTAAGTTTTCAAATCTTCCAGCTTTAGTAAAATGTCAATCTTTGGAATAATTGGGCTATCCTGAATACATTTAGGTCTCAAGAAGCTTTTGGCAAGGCGTTTCTAATGCATTATATCCTCCTGAGCTCCCACGGTGACAGGTAAAAGCTGTGGCACACGTTGACACGCGGTGAGCGATCTGGGCTGTACAAGAGGAAAATAACTTTGTTTTGAAAAAAAACTTTTATTTTGGCAGAGTAATTCATAAAGGGAATGAGAGAGATCAGTCAATACCTACTCAGCGGCCCTCAAGGCCGGCAAGCTTTTCCGTCCTGCGGGGAATTGGGGACTATGGCGCAGTGCCAAAAAGCTTGCCTTAAGACTTCCTCTGGACATTTACTTAAACAAATTCGTTAGGCTATGCCCCGGCGAACTTTTCATGTGGTGCTTTCCCAGCCTTCAGATTCTGGCCACTCAACTGGGCATCAGAAGACCTGGGGAGTTGCTTCCCCATCCCAGAAATACGGAATTTTGGAATAAAGTTTTGAAACATTTATCCGATTCTGCTTTCCTAAACTCCTGCTTTCCTACGGAAGACTTGTTCTGTAGAAAGGCTGCTGGGTTTTTGCGCTGTGGAGTGCCAAGCGTTTGTGCGCGCGGGCTAACAGGGAAGAGTTTTTAGACATGTGGGCTAATGTGGCCTAACAAGGAAGAGCTTTTGAACATGTGGGCTAGCAAAGAAGAGCTTTTGAACATGCAGACTAAGAGGAAAATGCTCTTGAACATGCGGGCTAACAAGGAAGAGCTTTTGAACATGCGTGACCGGGAAGTCCTATTGGTCATTAACCCTTACCCCAGTGAATGAGCCAGAAGCCAGGGCCACTATAAAGGCATGGCACGGCAAAAATGAGGGAAAAGAAAACAAAAGACAAGGAAGATCATTAGAAGAGTCGACGGCGCAGCGGCAAGCGTGAAGCTTGGAAGGCAACTGAAAACTACTTGCACGAACGAAGCAAAATGAACTGACATGGGCTGCAGAAATTTCAGGAAAGAGCTCGAAAGTCTGGGGGCAGCAGCAGCAATCTCGAGTCGCGTTTTGCGCCAAACAAAGCAGCAGATTCTTAGCAAACTCAGACAGACTTGCTGAACTGCAAGAAACTTTGAGTGCAGGCAGCGAAGAGGGGGTAGCTCTGGGAGCGCCTAGCTGTGGGGCACTTTCCCACAGCAAATAATTAACTTGCCAAAATTCAGAAAGCCTGAAGCTGAGCAGTACAGCTAATTCTATCTGAATTTTCCCAAGAGTTACTGGGGGCCCCTGTGCTGATACTAATTAGGCAGGAATTAAAGAGGAGCTGCACATTTGAGACACGGCCACGAGCATTTTGCTGGAATTTCTGAGACGAAAGTTCAAAATTAAAAAGGCAATTTTAAAGTGCTTCTCAGCGGAGCGACACAAGACACGGGAAAGTTGGCAGCTGGAAAGCAAAGTCTCAATTCTCCAAATCCGATTTCGTGGGACTTTTGGGTAAACATCCAATCTAGTAGACTAAGGAGAAAGATATACGGAGGGACATATCTGGAAAAACCCAAAAAGAGCCTTTTCTTTGCTGCTGCTGCTCCTTAAAATGCAGCAAAACCTCTCGCTGCTAGCTAGCCTGGGGGTAATGAGCCTGCTGCGCTGCAGAGCTCACACGCAAAATTATTGCCCTTAGGCTGGTCTCCAGTGGTCTCCAGTGGTCTCCAGTGGTCTCCAGTGGTCTCCAGTGGACTCCAGTGGTCAGTTTTGTTCTCTCGGGAGCTATTGATCTTTTACTCTTCACAGAACAGATCCTGGCATAGACAAATGTTTAAGGGCCGGCAATTCTGAGCTTTCAGAAGCCACCGCCAGCTCGCCTTTCTCCACAGGAGCTTAAGTTTCAAAAAGAAAAAGAAAAAAGTAATTATTAAAGCCAGTTAACTTAAAGTTGGGGAGCCTACTAAGCTCTGGGGAGCTTCAAAGTCAGGCCGTGCAGGCTAGGGTGAAGGCAAGCCCACATGTCTGCACGAAAATTCGTGCAGACTTGGGTCTCAAACATTAAGAAAAGAACAAACTACTCATGGGGAGTTCAAGAAAGCTTTTAGGTTGCTGCTGAGCTGCAGCAAACTGCGCAGTGGGTGTCTGTGGCAGCTCAGGCTAGCGGTGGAGCCCCGAGCCGCTGCAGCTCAATAACCAGCCTCCGCCTCATCTCTTCCTTTTCCAAATGCTTTTAAATATTCAAATTAAATCCAAAACAGTAAATTAATTGTTTATTCGCGGGACGCAGCGCCTAGTGGCTCACAGCCAGAGCATGTGGGGCCGCTGCAGCCGACGGCGCTGCTGGTCAGCCCCCACTGTGTGCACTGGGCTGCGCTGCGCTGCGGCTTTTCCCCTCCTAAGACTCTTTTCGGGGAATTAAATGGCGAAAAGAGTTGCAATTTAAATCAATAAAACCATTTAAGGACAGTTCCGAGTGTACAGACACCGCAGAACCCCCGCTGCCACTGCAGGTGACCTTCCTCGGGGGACCAACGGGACCGCCTCTTGCTGCTGCAGCCGCATGCAGCCTTTAAAGACAATTAACAAACTTATAAACGAAATAAGGGCCCTTTGGCTGTCTTTTATTCTTCTTTAGGGGCCCAGGGGCTCTTGAAAGGGGCCCCTATGGGCTCCCAGGCAGGGGAAAGAATGCAGTGAGATACAGCTGCTGCTGCAGACACCAGAAGCGGCTGCTGCTGCTGCTGCTTCTTCCGCCGCTGCTGCTGCTGCTGCTTTCGCCCCTGCTGCTGCTGCAGGAGAAACCATTGAGGGGGCATTGAAGCGAAGCCGGGGCACTCTCTGCCTCTGCAGAAGGCGAGACGGCAGCGAGAAGGTAGCAGCAGCAGCAGCTGCTGCTGCTGCTGCAGCAGCGACAGCAGCAGCAACTATGAAATTGAAGCCTCCAAACGGAACAGATCCGTTGGCCGTGCCACCAGAGACCAAGGGAAGGAGCTGGACTAGGCCAGCAGCAGCAGCAGCAGCAGCAGCAGCAGCAGCTGCAGCGACAGCTGGAGCAGCAGCTGCTGCAGCACCAGCTGCAGCAGCAGCAGCAGCAGCTTCTGCCAATAGAGACTTGGCGCTTCTAATGCGGCTGCAGGGAACAAGTGAAAAGGCCTTGAAGCGGCCGCAGAAGCAGCAGCTGCTGCAGAAGCAGCAGCAGCTGCCGCTGCAGCGGCTGCTGCAGCAGCGGCGGGGCCACCCAAAACAACAGAAGCTGCAACACTCGCAAACCAACGAGCAACAGCAGCAGCAGCAGCAACAGTTGCAGCAGCAGCAGCAGGAGCAGCAGCAGCAACTGCAGCAGCACGCGAAGCACACAGGACAGGAAAAGAATGGGCCCAGCAAAATGCACACTGGATTAGCTGCCTCTAAAAGTAGGACAAATTAGAGTCATGCTTCTGCGCTGCTGCTGCTGCTGCTGTTTGCTGCTGTTTGCTGCTGCTTGCTGCCGCCTTGTTGCTGCTTTGCTGCTGCTTTGCTGCTTCGGTGACGGCTTTTTGCTGCAGCCACTGCATCCGTTCTGCTGCTGCAGCGTTGCTTCTATTGCCGACGTTGCTGCTGCTTTTGCTGCTCCCATTGCTGCTGTCGGTGCTGCTGCTGCCTTTGTTACTGCTGCTGCTGCTGTGGCTGCTGCTGTGGCTGCTGCTGCGGCTGCTGCTGCAGCTCCTGCTGCAGCTCCTGCTGCTCAAGCAGCAAGGCTTCAAGACATCGAGGGTTTGTGTCTTTGCAGCGCTGCCCGACAGCAGCAGAAGCTTCACGGAAGCTGCGGACAACAGCAGCAGATGCAGCAGCATTGACAGCAGCAGCAGAAGCAGCAGCAGCAGCAGGAGCAGCAGCCACTCTATTAATCATAGGAGTGGCTCCTCGTGCGAAAAGCATGGTCTTGATTCAAGCAATGGCAGCAGAAACTGCAACAGCAGCAAGAGAAGCAGTAGCAGCAAGAGCAGCAGCAGCAGGAGCAGCAGCAGCAAAGACAGCAGCAGCAGCGGCAGCGGCAGCAGTACCCGGCAGGAACCCGGCTTGCTAATGCCTCTTGCTGTGTCCCAAAACGATGCTGCTTCTGGTGCAGCAGCTGCTGCGCTGCAGCGGCTGTCAGCAGCAGCAGCAGCAGCAGCACCAGCTGCTGCTGCTACAGAGCCAGTACCACATCAGACTGCCTCCAGCCCAAGATGGCATAGCAGCAGCGGCAGCAGCAGCAGCAGCAGCAGCAGCAGCAGACGTAGACGCAGCCACAGCAGCGAAAGCAGCAGCAACGGTGCCAGAAACAGCAACAGCACCAGTCGCAGCAGCAGCAGCAACAACAGCAGAATGGCAACAAAGCTAAGTGAGGACTTTAGGGTGTCTAGACACCTAACAGCAAATAAAAACTTTAATAATGGTACTTGGGGGCCCCCCTGTGGGGCCCCACACAGAAAGAGTAGGCCTGCAGGAAGGGGGGCCCCCAGAGCTGGCAAAGCGACGCTGCTGCCAGCAGCAGCAACTGCAGCAGCAGCTGCAGCAGCAACTGCAGCAGCAACTGCAGAAGCAAATGCAGCAGCAACTGCAGCAGCAAGACACAAGTTAAAAAGCAGAATTGCAGAGGCTGCAGCAGAACTGGACACGGCACGGACTGAAAAGCAACCAGCGATAGCGGAGAAACGGCAGCAGCCGCAGCAGCAGCAGCAGCAGCAGCAGCAGCAGCAACAACAGCAGCAACAGCAGCAGCAGCAGCATATGCCACAGAAAACTGCCCGCGCCAATGCGCTCAACAGCTGCTGGTATGACCCTAAAGAAAATGCTGCAGGAGAATTTTTCCCTTCCAGTCTTTCTTCGGGTTTCCCTACAGCAGCAAAAGCAGCAGCAGCAGCAGCAGCAGCAGCAGCAGCAGCACCTCCATCTGGCGACGCACAAAGAGGCAGCGCAAATTTTGGCCTATGGGGCCCCTTGGATGAGGAGGCCTCTGCCCTATCAAATGGCAAATGCTCCAAAATGTCAAACACTGCAGCAGCAGCAGCAGCAGCTGCTGCAGCAGCAGCAGGAGCAGCAGCAGCAGAGGGACACAATGGGAAGCCGCGACCTCCACGGACACAAAACAGCACAAAGAACTTTTGCTGGGACCGCAGCAGCAGCAGCAGCAGCAGCAGCAGCAAAAGCAGCTGGAAACGTTTAGCAACACCCGAAGAGGCTCTGTGGAATGCCTCGAACTGCGCTGCTGCTGCAGCAGCCGCAGCAGAACAGCAGCAGCAGCAGCAGCAGCAACTTAGGTCATCTGACATCACCAATGGCTGCTCTGGTCACTTGCTGCAGCAGCTGCAGCAGCGCACAACCACAGCAGCAGCAGCAGCAGCAGCACCTACAGCAAAGCCGCAGCAAATCAGCACAACACAGTTCCTTAACGGCTGCGACATATTTGGAGAAGACAAAGTCAAGGAAGCAGTATCAGGCGCAGCAGCAGCAGCAGCAGCAGCAGCAGCAGCAGCAGCAGCAGCGGCTGAAGGAGCAGCAGTAGCTGAAGGCGCAGCAGCAACAGCAGAGGCACCAGAGGCACATCAACAACTGGGCCACAACAGCTTTACTGACTGGGAGGCAGTGGCAGCAAAATGGACGGCAGCTGCAGCACAGCAGCAGCAGCAACAGCAGCAGCAGCAACAGCAGCAACTCCAGGCGCCCTCTCTCTTTGCTGCAGCAGCAAACTCACCACAGATGCTGGGGGCCCCAGCAGCGCCGCTGCAGCACCCCGGGCCCTTTCAGCTGTACGTACACCAGCTGCTTCAGCAGCAGCAACAGCAGCAGCGACGCTTCAGTCAGCAGCAGCAGCAGCAGCAGCAGCAGCAACAGGGACAGCAGCAGCAGCAGCAGCCGCAATCCACGCAAAACCATTGGCGAGTATTCCCTTCAACGCAGCAGCAAGAGACCCCACAGAGGGCCCCTCGATATTGTTTCTTGGGGCCCCCCTTGGGGGCCCCTTTGGGGGCCCCTTTGGGGGCCCCCTTGGGGGCCCCATTGGGGGCCCCTTTGGGGGCCCCTGTGGGCGCCCCTGTGGGGGCCCCCTTGGGGACCGCTGTGGGGGCCCCCTTGGGGGCCCCCTTGGGGGCCCCTTTGGGGGCCCCCTTGGGGGCCCCTTTGGGGGCCCCTTTGGGGGCCCCTTGGGGGGCCCCTTGGGGGGCCCCTTTGGGGGCCCCTTTGGGGGCTCCTTTGGGGGCCCCTGTGGGGGCCCCCGTGGGGGTCCCTGTGGGGGCCCCTACGGGGGCCCCTATGGGGGCCCCTCTGGAGGCGCGCTTGGGGGCCCCTCCAGGGGCCCCAAGCACTTCGCATTTGTCTGCTGCGTCTGGGGCTTTGCTGCCAGGAGCAGCAGCAGCTGGGGGCCTCCAAACATCCTTCAGAAGCAGCAAAAGCAGCAGCAGCAGCAGCAGCAGCAGCAGAGGGGGCCCCACAGTGCCGCGGGGGCAGCGCAGAAGGGCGTTGTGCATAGGCTGTCTTTACGAGGGAACATTCTGCACGCTTAGTAAGCTGCTGCTGCAGCTGCAGCTGCTGCTGCTGCTGCAGCTGCTGCTGCTGCTGCTGCAGCTGCTGCTGATGCTGCTGTAAACACCGCTGCTGTTGCAGTTGCTGCTGCTGCTGTAGTTGCTGCCGGCAGTAGCTGCAGTGAGTGATACGGCATTTGGCAATGTGCGGCAGCTAAGGCTTCTGCTGCAGCTGTTCGTGCCGCAGCTGCTGCAGCAGCAGCAGTTACAAATGCTGCTGCTGCTGCAACTGCTGCTGCCGCTACAACTGCTGCTGCTGCTGCAGCTGCTGCGCACTTGTGTGCTGCCTCAGAGGGAGCTGCAGCAGATGCACGGCGCTGGGCTTCGATTGCCTCTGAGCATCTTGGCTTCACAGAAGTCCGGTCAGCAGCAGCAGCAGCAGCAGCAGCAGCAGAAGCAACAGCAGCAGTAGCAGCAGCACAGATAGCAGCAACAATGGTAGCAAGAGCAACAGCGGCAGCAGCAACTCTAGAAAGCACTCCATCGAGCGGGCGCAGCAGCAAGACGAACAGCAGACTTGCCAGAAGCCTCTTAGCTCACGCTGCTGCTGCTAGGGTTGCTGCTGCTGCTGCTGCTGCTGCTGCTGCTGCTGCTGCTGCTGCTGCCAATACAGGACCCTATGCGATGCTGAACCCCGCCTTATCCGTAACTACGCAGTCTCTTCTCATCCTCCGACCCACGAAAACATTATGGTGAGCTGCTGCTGCTGCTGCTACTGCTGCTGCTGCTACTGCTACTGCTGCTGCTGTTGCTGCTGTGAAACGAATGCGACAGTCTGTTTGCTGCTGCTGTGGCTGCAGCGGGGGCTGCAGTGGCTGGTGGAAGACGCAGCAGCAGGAGATGTGCTGCTGCTGTTCTTTTCCGGCTGCAGCAGCAGCTTGGTTGCTGCTGAGCAGCCGGAGGGCCCCTGCACTGTACGTACACCCCACGGCTTCTTCCTAGCTTCCTTATTTGCTGCTGCTGCTGTTGCTGCTGCTGCTGCTGCTGCTGTTGTTGCTGCTGCTGCTGCTGTTGCCCGCGCCTCGCTGCTTGGTGCTAGGGTGCTGCTGCAGCTGGTGTGTCGCGGCGTGCTGCTGCAAGAGCTGCTACTGCGCTTCTGCTGCTTGCTGCTGCTGCGGCGCTGCTGCTTGCTGCTGCTGCTGCTGCTGCTGCTGCTGTGCTGCTGCAGCCACACATCATGGCGCTGCTGCCTTCCGACTTCAAAGATTGGCAAGGAGTTCGATTTATTTCTTCTGCTGCTCTCTGTGCCCTCATCAATTCCTTGCCAGAAGGCCAGTCTCTGCTGTTGCTGCTGTTGCTGCTGCTGCTGCTGCTGCTTCTGCTGCTGCTGCCGCTACTGCTATTGCTGATGCTGCTGTGGCTGCTGCTGCTGCTGCTGTTGCTGTTGTTGCTGCTGTCGCTGTGGCTGGTGCTGCTGCTGTTGCTGTTGTTGCTGCTGTTGCTGCTGCAGCTGCTGCTGCTTGCTGCTGCTGCTTGCTGCTGCTGCTTTTGCTGCTGCTGCTGTTGCTGCGTGTGCTGCTGCTGCTGTTACTGTTGGTGCCGATGCTAAGGCTGCTGTTTCTAGTGCTACTGCTGCTACTGCTGCTGCTGCTAGTGCTACTCCTGCCAACGCTGCTGCTGCTGCTGCTGCTGCTGCAACGAGAGCTGTTGATCTGGCGAGTTGAGAACTCTTCGACAGCAGCAGAGGCCGCAGCAGCAGGTTCTGATGGCTCTCCGCCGACAGTGCTTCTGCTGCTGCTGCTGCTGCTGCTGCTGCTGCTGCTGCTGCTGCTGCTCAGGTGTTCAGTTTTGCTGTGTTCTGGACTGCGGATTTGGCTGCCGTCTGCTGCCCATTGGCAGCTTCTTCTCCGTCTCCAATGATGACAAATTGTGTCCGTTTTATTTTGCTGTTGCTGCTGCTGCTGCTGCTGTTGCTGCTGCTGCTGTTGCCGCTGCTGCTGTTGCTGTTGCTGCTGCTGCATCGGCGGCGCCTTCTGGCTATGCTGCTGAAGAGGCATCTGCTGTTGCTGTTGCTGCTGCTGCTGAAACTACTTCTCTTGCTGCTGCTGTAACTGCCGCTGCTTCTGCTGCCACTCCTGCTCCTGCCGTTGCTGCTGCTGCCACTCCTGCTCCTGCCGTTGCTGCTGCTGCTGCTGCTGCTGCTGCTGCTGCCACATAAAGAACACGCCGAGGCCTTGAGCGTTTGGCCCTGCTGCAGGCGTCAGCCTCAGCCGGCCGCTTCCACTTCGTCCCCCGTGGATGTATGAGCAGCAGCAGCAGCAGCAGCAGCAGCAGCAGCAGCAGCAGAGAGGGATGGCCACGGCTTCGAAGTTCGCGGGCATTATACGAGTTCCCAGCAACGTGCAGCAGCAGCTGCAGCAGCAGCAAGAGGAGCAGCAGCGGCTTTCCCTTTCACGAGTAAGGCGGACACAAAAATGCTCGCGAGGGCTTTGGCTGCAGCAGCAGCAGCAGCAGCAGCAACAGCAGCAGCAGCAGCTGCTGCTGCTGCTGCTGCTGCGGCAGCGTTTTGTGCGCTGGCTCCTAGCTAGCCCAAGTTTGTCTGCTGCTGCTTTTGCTGCTGCACAAACTTTAATGCATATATTCTTTTAGGGTTTTATTTTTTTAATCTTTTTCAAAATATCTTTTTTTCTTCTTTTAATATATATATATATATACATATATATATATATATTTATATTTGTGCGCTTGACGCTTTTGCTGCTGCCTCCGCCCCACCTACGCTGCTGCTGCTTCTGCTGCTGCTGCTGCTGCTGCTGCTGCTGCTGCTGCTGCTGCTGCTGCTGCCGCTGTTGCTGCTGCTGCTGCTGCTGCAGCGGTCCCGTGGCTCTGCTGCCTTTTGCCTTTCTCTCGGCGACGGCGAAGCCAAAGAAATCCACCGCAGCGGCAGAGACGAAGGTCTGTCCACTGAAGGGGCAGCAGCAACTTGCTGCTGCTGCTGCTGCTGCTGCTGCTGCTGCTGCTGCCGCTGGTTGCATGCTGCTGCTGCTTCTGGTTGCGTGCTGCTGCTGCTGCTGATTTATGCATGTTCCTGCTGTTGCTGCGTTTTTCCTGCTGCTGCTGCTGTTGCTGCTGCTTCTTGCGTGCCGCTGCTGCTGTTGCTGCTGCTTCTTGCATGCTGCTGCTGCTGCTGCTGCTGCTGCTGCTGTGGGTTCTAGGCCTGCTGACTGCGCTGCTGCTGCTCGCTCTCGAGAAAACCCGCAGCTCAAAGCTGTCTTATCTTCGTTTGCTGCTGTCTGCTGCTTCGCTGCAGCAGCAAGTGCTGCAGTGAGCGCTCAAGCCTTAAACCCTAAACCCTTAACCCTAAACCCTAAACCCTAGGCCACAAACCCTAGCCTTAACAAACAGAGCAGACCCCTCAGGAAGCGCATCTGGCTGTTGCTGCTCCTGCTGCTGCTGTTGCTGTTGCTGCTGCTGCTGCTGCTGCGCATGCTTTGTGGGTGAAGTGGATAGAAGCAGAGAGAGACCCTCGGGGAGTGTCTTCTGCTGCTGCTGCTTCTGCTGCTGCTGCTTCTGCTTCTGCTGCTGCTCCTGCTTCTGCTGCTTCTGCTGCTTCTGCTGCTGCTGCTGCTGATGCTAATGCTGCCACTGCTGCTACTGCCCATGCTGCTGCTGCTACTGCTGCTGCTGCTGCTGCTATGCCTAATACTGCTGCTGCTGCTGCTGCTGCGGTTGCTGCTGCTGCTGCTGCTGCTGCTGCTCCTTTTGGAGCCCTTTTGTCCTTTTGCCATTTTTGTCTTCTTGTCTTTTTCCATCTGTCTGTACACCCCGTCAGAGTCTCCTTGTGCTTTTCATTTACTTTTATTTTTATTTTTATTTCTTTTTTATTTCTTTCTTATTTTTCCTTTTTATTTATTAATTTATTTTAAATTTATTTTTCCTTTTTTATTTCCTTTTTCTTCTTCATTTCTTTTTTCTTTTTTATTTTTATTTATTTTTTCTTTTGTCTTCCTTTACTTCTCTTTAAGTTCTTTATTTATTTTTAACCTCTTTTTTATTTTATTTCTTTTTTTCCTTTTTTCTTTTTTAATTTTTTAATTTCTTTTTTCATTTTTGCTCATTTGCTCTTTTATTTCCTTCACCTTTGTCTTTGGCTGCTTTTCTTTTTTCTCTTTAATTCGTTTTAATTCTTTTTAAATTCTTTTTAAATTCCTTTTAAATCGCTTTCAATTTATTATTACTTTCTTTATAAATTCTTTTAAAGTTATTTCTTTTTTATTTCTTTTTAATTGATTTATTTCATTTTTTCCTTTTTGCTTCTTTGGTTTCTCCCCAGCAGCAGCAGCAGCAGCAGCAGCAGCAGCAGCTTTTCTCCCGTTTCTTTTTGTCTTTCTTTTGAGTCTCCAGCACCCCCCAGCGAAGTTTGCTTCCTCCGCCGTAAGCAGCATTAGCAGCAGCAGCAGCAGCAGCAGCAGCAGCAGCAGCGGCGGCAGCCGCAGCGGCACCGCACGACCAATGGCCGCCGCAGCAGCAGCTGTTGCTGCTGCTGCTGCTGCTGCTGTTGCTGCTGGCCCTTGGATAGCGTAGGGCCCCTTAGAACAGCTGCAGCCCAAGCTGCTGCTATTGGTGTTGCTGCTGCTGCTGCTGAGGCTTGCTGCTGCTGTTGCTGCCGCGTGTTTTCTCCGTAGATGGAAGAGCTGCAGCTCCTGCTGCAGCAGCAGAAGCAAGTGCAGCACAGTTGCTTTCAGTGCATCACAAAAGAACAGCAGCAGCAAAAGCCAGAGAAGCAGCAGCAAGCAAGGGGCCCCCCAGCCTTACCTGGGGGGCCCCCCCTCTGAAGGACCCTATTTGCACACTAGCTGCACAACTGCCTCACGCTGCAGCAGCATCAGAAGCAGCAGAAGCAGAAGCAGCAGCAGCAGCAGCAGCAGCAGCAGCAAGTAGGGGCCCCTCCGTGGGGCCCCCCTACAGCAGCGCCGCAGCAGCAATTGACCATCAGGGGGCCCCTAAAGAGTGGGGGGCCCCCACTTTGAGGGGGCCCCCCTCTCTCAGGGGGCCCCCCTCTATTGGGGGGCCCCCCTCTATTGGGGGGCCCCCCTCTATTGGGGGGCCCCCCTCTATTGGGGGGCCCCCCAGATGGGGGGGCCCCCCAATAGAGGGTACTGCTGATGCCTTTAGTTTAAGGAGAGGCAGCATTTGTTCTTTGGCCTCCTTAGCAACGCAGTCTGCAGCAGCAGCAGGGGCCCCCTCAGCAGCAGCAGAAGCAGCAGCAGCAGCAGCAGCAGCAGCAGCAAGTGCCAACCCTGGGGACCCCTTGCTGCTGCTGTCTCCAGGATCTGCTGCGCAGCTAAAAGAAAGCCTCCGCTTTCAGGTGTACGTACACTGCGTGACAGACCTGAATGCAGCACAAGTGAGGGGGCGGCAGCTGCAGGTGCGCCTTGCTGCAGTGCAGCAGCAGCAGCAGCAGCAGCAGCAGCAGCAGCAGCAGCCGCGGCAGCAGCAGCAGCTGCGTCCAGGGGCGGGGGTGATGGAGGACGGGGAGGAGGAGATGAGCCGCGCTGCTGCTGCGCTGCTGCAGCCTGCTGCTGCGAGTCGCAGCAGCAGCACAGCTGCTGCTGCTGCTGTGACCAATGGTCTTTGCTGCTTGCCTGTTCAGCAGCTGCTGCAGTGCAGCCTTCCTGCAGCAACGGTAGGCAGCCCCGCTGCTGCTGTGCCTGCTGCTGCTGCGCCTGCTGCTGCTGCTGCTGCTGCGGCAGCAGCTAATGCTGCTGTTGATGTTGATGCCGCTGTTAATGCTGCTGCTGTTCCTTCTAGTGCTGCTGCTGCTAATGCTGCTGCTGCCGTTGTGCCGTTGCCGTTGCTGCTGCTGCTGCTTCTGCTGCTGCTGTTATTGCTAATCCTGTTGCTGCTGCTGCTGCTGCTGCTGCTGCTGAGGCTGCAGCAGGCCTTTTTGGGAGGATAAGTGTCTGGGTGTTTCTTCTTTCTGCAAAATGCATTTTCTTTTCTTTCTTGAATATCTTTTAATTTCTATTTCTGTTTTATTTCATTTAAATTCTTTTTTTCTTTTCTCAACTTTTGCTTTTTAACTTTTGCTGCACAGGATAATGAGCTGCTCGTGGGCCTCGTCTCCAGGGGCCCCTGGGGGCCCCCCTCTGACGAGCTGCTGGGGTACACCATAATACACGCAGGGTACGCTTGCTGCTGCTGCTGCTGCTGCTGCTGATGCTGCTGCTGCTGCTGCTGCTGTTGGTGCTGTTGCTGCTGATAATGCTGCTGCTGCTGTTGGTGCTGTTGCTGCTGATAATGCTGCTGCTGCTGTTGGTGCTGTTGCTGCTGATAATGCTGCTGCTGCTGTTGGTGCTGTTGCTGATGCTGCTACTAGTGCTGCTGTTGACGCTGTTGGAGGTGCTAATACTGCTGCTGCTGTTGCTGCTGCTGCTGCTAATACTGCTGCTGCTGTTGCTGCTGCTGCTGCTGTTGCTGCTGGTTTGCGGCGTTGAAGACTGAATGTGAGGGAAATCGCGGCCTCTCAGCAGCTGCGCGAGCAGCAGCTAGACTGCAGCAGCAGCAGCAGCAGCAGCAGCAGCAGCAGAGTTTGCTTTTGCTTCTGTTTCTCTGCTGCTGCTCAGAGACAGCCGTTTGCTGCAGCTGCAGCAGTGGGTCTTGCGCGCTGCGGGAAACCCAGCGGTGGGTCTCATAGCACTTATTAAAAAATAAAAATGAAAAATAAAAATAAAATAAAATAAAATAAAATAAATAAAATAAAATAAAAAATTCATAAAAACAAAATTAAATATAAATAAATAACTCAGCTTGTCCTGCAGGGGGCCCCCATTTAGACCCAGGGGCCCCCCAGGGACTTCAACTGCCCACTGGGGGCCCCAATGAACCTTTTGGGGGGCCCCCCTGGGGGCCCTTTTAGAGGCCCTGGGGGCCCCCTTTAGGGGCCCCTGAAGGGGGCCCCAAAAGGGGGCCCCAAGGGCCCCAAAAGGGGGCCCCAAGGGCCCCAAAAGGGGGCCCCCAGGGCCCCAAAAGGGGGCCCCCAGGGCCCCAAAAGGGGGCCCCCAGGGCCCCAAAAGGGGGCCCCCTTTAGGGGCCCCTAAGGGCCCCCTGAGGAGGCTCCTGAGGGGGCCCCCCTAGGGACCCCACAGGGGCCCCTAAGAACATGGGGGCCCCCTGAGGGGCCCCCAATGTTCTTCTAGCCTTCCCAGGCTGTAAACCCTAAACCCTAAACCCTAAACGCTTTTCTTAGCCTGAAGGCTTCGAAGATTTCTCTGCAGCAAAAGAGGCCTCAGCAGCCAGTGGTTTTTATCCTATAAGCCCCAAACCCTAAACCCTAGCAACAGAAGCAACTCTCACCTCCAACTGTCCAAACCCTAAACCCTAAACCCTAAACCCTAAACCCTCGAGGTCTGGGCGTGGAAACTCTTTGGCTTTTCACAGTTCTGCGTTTCGAAAAAACCGCAACTCCCTTTTTCGGCGCCGTACCGGCAGCAGCAGCAGCAGCAGCAGCAGCAGCAGCGGCTGCAGCAGCAGCAGCAGCTGCAAACACAAAGGGGTGCATGAGGCAGCAAAGCAGAATGGCTGTGGCTGAGGGGCCCCCCACATAAGCCAGCAGCCCTTTGGGGGCCCCCAGTTGGATAAAAGCGTGGGGTGTACGTACACCCGAGTCGCGGGGTGGGAAGCGAAAGCCCCGGGGAAATAAAAAGGGGAAAAAGCCCCTGAGGGCCCCAAACCCCAAACCCCAAACCCTAAACCCTAAACCCTAAACCCTAAACCCTAAACCCTCAGAGGACGTCTTTCCAGAGTTTGCTGACGTCGACCATTTCGCCAGTAACGACGGCAATGACCCAGAGGCCCTCGGCCCTGGGCGGGAGCGTGTGGAGCCCGCTGAGCTGCTGCTGCTGCTGCTGCTGCTGCTGCTGCTGCTGCTGCTGCTGCAGCGGCGGCTGCTGCTGCAGCGGCTGCTGCTGCTGCTGCGGGGCGAAGCAGCCCTTGAGGGCCGGCGGGGCGGGCCCCAGCAGCGTGGCGCGGATGGTGCATGCAGAGGGACTTGCTGCAGCAACGCATGCATCCAGCAGCACAGTGCTGCCAGCAGCAAAAGGCCTCAAGTACTTCACAAAAAGGGCTTTTGTTGCTGCTTTTGGCAGCAGCAAATGACTCAAAAGCCCCAAAGAGTTGTCAGCTAGTGCTGCAGTAAAGCCCCCATGGACTACCCCCCTGTGGCCGCAGAGGGCGGGGCCTGCGGTGCAGACCACCAGCAGGTGCTGCTTGCATGCAGACACGAACTGCAGCAGCAGCTCCACGCCGCCCCGCTGCAGCAGCAGGTCGTGCAGCAGGTGCCGGCACTTGCTGCTGCTGCTGCTGCTGCTGCTGGCTGCTGCTGCGGCGGTGGACTCCGCGGACGCGCACGGCCGCAGCAGCGGGCCCAGCCCTGCGGGGGAGCCGCCCGTCGCGCCCGAGCGCGCCGCGTCGCCCGCTGCTGCTGCTGCTGCTGCTGCTGCTGCTGCTGCTGCTGCTGCGTCCGAAACGCGAGTCCGCCCGTGCTCCGGGTCCTCAGCTGGCAACGGAATGTACAAATAAGGACCTTCAGCTCGAAAATAAGGCCAAGTCCACTCGGGGAGGCCCAGGGCGTCGGGGTGTACAGACACCCCGTCGGAGTCTTGGATCTGCGGCGGCTCCGCGGCGGCGCTCATTTTGCTGCTCTTCTTCTCCAAACTGCTGCCAACTCTTCGCAATTCAAAAACTTCAGCAAATGCGAGCATTCAAGTGCAAAAAAACCCCGACAGCAGCGCGCAAGACAGCAGCATGCAGCAGCAGCAGCAGCAGCAGCAGCAGCGGCGGTGGCGGAGGGCCGCTGCTGCGCGCCGGGGCTGCTGCTGCAGCTCCTGCTGCGCCTCCGCTGCAGCTTTTCCGCTCTTTGCTCTTTTGCTGCTTCTTAAACAATTAATTGCTGCTTCTAAAGCAGCTTTTGCTCTCTTATAACTCCTTTTTGCTGCCAACTCCTCCGCGGCGGCCCCGCCGCCGCCCGCTGCAGCTGGTGACCTCCAAATTCTCACGAAAGTCAAACACAGAGAAGAGCCAGAGTCCTTCCACATGCAACTGCAGCAGCAGCAGCTGCAGCAGCAGCAGACGCAGCGACACGGGCAGAAGCAGCAGCAGCAGCAGCAGCAGCAGCAGCAGAGGCAGCGGCAGCGGCGAAGCCAGCAGCGCCAGCAGCAACGGCCATAACTAGTGGGGCTACAGCTGCGGTCACCTGCAGCAGCAGCAGCAGCTGCTGCTGCTGCAGCCAGGAGGCCTGCGTCAGCAGCAGGCGCTGCTGCTGCTGCCGCTGCTTCTACCGCGTCGGCCACTGCTGCTGCTGCTGCTGCTGCAGCAGCAGCAGCAGCAGCAAGTCTAGGCGAAAATGGATACTCCTTCAACAGACAGAGAAAGCACTGCTGTGGGGTTCACCCCCAACACCCCGATAACCCCTGAAGTGGCAGCAGCAGCAGCAGCAGCAGCAGCAGCAGGAGCTTCGCGGGGCTCCCCCTTTGTGCCCTCTCCCTACGCTCGCCAGCAGCAGCAGCAGCAGCAGCAGCAGCAGCAGCAGCGGGGGCTGACCCTCGCAGACATCCGAAGACGCAATTTAGATGAGCAGCAAGCCTTAAGAGATGTGGGGCATTTGCGGCGCTACAGAGTGAGTTTTCTTTTATTTATTTTATTCTTTTAATTATTTATTTAATTGCTTTTTAATGTGATTTGATTTGCTTCTTCAAATCTGCTGCTGCTGCTGCTGCTGCTGCTGCTGCTGGTTTGGAGCTGCTGCTGCTGCTGCGCTGCAGCTGGCTGATGTCTTGCAGTGTATGTACACCCCAAACTGCCCTGAGAATTGACTTGCGGCCTTTTGCTTTTAATATTAAATTACATTTAAATGGGCCCACTCTTGCTGCTGTTGCTGCTGCTGCTGCTGCTGCTGCTGCTGATGCTGCTGCTGCTGCTGCTGCTGCTGCTGGCCAAAGAGCCAGCCGTTTGTGTTCTGAGGTGCACGCACAACCTCTGCTGCTGCGCTGCTGCTGCTGCTGCTGCTGCTGCTGCTGCTGTAGCGCCTGCTGCTGCTTCGCTGCTGCTGCCGCTGCTGCTGCCGCTGCTGCTGCTGCTGCTGCTGCTGCAGTGGCTGCTGCTTCTGCTTCTGCTGCTTGTGAAGTTCTTGAACTACAGCTCTGAAGACAGTCAATTTCAAAAAGTTGGAGAAAAAAAGCTGCAGACTTTTTACTGCAGCTGCTGCGGCGCAAACGCCTTTGTGGCGGAAGTGGGGTTGGAGGAAATGCCGCGGAGAGAGACGGACTCGTCGTTTGTTTTGCGCGTAATTCGATTCATTTCGATTTAATTTTAATTTATTTTAATTTAATTTTAATTTTTTTATTTATTTTGTTTTATTTAATTCATTTATTTCCTTTTTTTGCTGCAAACGCCTCTAAGAGCCGCCCCGCCAGCGCCGCTGCAGCCCGCGGGAGGTGCGCAGACACCCGAAGTGCCCGTCGCGCTGCAGCAGCTGCAGCAGCAGCAGCAGCAGCAGCAGCTGCAGCAGCAGCAGCAGCTGGCTTTTGGCAATTTTTTGAGGCATCTGCAGCAGCAAAGCCACATGAATGCAGAGCTGCACTAAAACACTGCTACTGCTGCTGCTCCCGTTGCTGCTTTTGCTGGTGCTGCTGCTGTTGCTGGCGGCGTCATCCTGCTGCTGCTGCTGCTGTTGCTGCTGCTGTTGTTGGTGGCGACATCATCCTGCTGCTGCTGCTGCTGCTGTTGCTGCTGCTGCTGCAGGCGGGTGAGATCTTCCACAAGTTGTATGTGGTGCCCAGCAAGCGGATAATTCTGCGGCGGCCAACTGGCCTCGAAGTTCAGTACCAGTGAGAAGTGCTTGCTGCAGTTGCTGCTGCTCAATAATCTGCTGCTGCTGCTGCTGCTGCTGCTGCTGCTGTTGCTGTTGCTTGTTTTACCGTTGCTGCTGCTTTTTCCGTAGAAGCTAGAGCCCCCTTCCTTGAGCTGCAGTCTTGCCTTGCTTAGCTGCTGCTGCTCCGCCTACGCGGTTCCGCAGCAGCAGCAGCAGCAGCAGCAGCAGCAGCAGCGCGTGGGGTGTATGTACAGGCTGAAGTGTCGCGACTGTGGGGTGGCAATCGCCTACAGGTCTGTAGACTTTCGAGAAGCAGCAGAATTTGTTTATCTTTATTCAGATGCCCTTTGCACGCAGCAGTCAGATGCTTATGCCTGGCAGGGACAATGAGGCTGCTGCTGCTGCTGCTGCTGCTGCTGCAGCTGCTGCTGCTGCTGCTGTAGCAGCAGCTGCCGTGGCAGGCGCCGCTGCAGCAGTTGCCGCTGTAGCTCGTGCTGCCGCAGCAGCTGCTGCTGGGGCAGTTGCTGCGGCAATGCAGGTGCTGCTGCAGCAGGTGCTGCTGCAGCAGATGCTGCTGCAGCAGATGCTGCTGCAGCAAGTGCTGCTGCAGCAGGTGCTGCAGTGGATGCTCCAGGAGGTGCTGCAGTGAGGGCTGCTGCGGCCGCTACAGCAGGTGGCGCTGCTGCTGCTGCTGCTGCTGCAGATCGTTATTGGAATGCTGGTGCACTTGGCACTGCTAGGGAACGCTTTGCTGCTGCATTAGCAGCAACAGCTGCAGCAGCAGCAGCAGCAGCAGCAGCAGCAGCAGCAACAGCTGCAGCGAACGGCGAGTTCTACGCTGCGTGCAGCTGAAGGTCTTGTACAGCCATTCATGCAGCAGCAGCAGCAGCAGCAGCAGCAGCAGCAGCAGCAATGCTTCTTCGTGTGCTTATGCTTGTCGTTTAGCTTTTTGCAAAACTAGCGAAGGGATTTTTAGTGAATGCGCTTCAAGTTGAGAGCCACGCCCAAGCCCCTGCGCGGGCTCAGAGTCTAAGGGTTTAGGGTTTAGGGTTTAGGGTTTAGGGTTTAGGGTTTAGGGTTTAGGTTCTTAGGGTTTAGGGTTTAGCGGTTTGCTGCGGAAGCATCTGTTTTGAGCAGCAACTTAAGCAAAGGCGCAAATCCTAACCCTCTTTACTCCAAGCAATAAGATACGCATGCAACTCTAGGGTTTAGGGTTTAGGGTTTAGGGTTTAGGGTTTAGGGTTTAGGGTTTAGGGTTTAGGTGGCCAAATGGCCCGCAGGAGGCCTGAGGGTGCCTCGCTGTGGGCCGTAAATTTTACCATTCAAAAGTGAAATTAAATAATTAAAATAATTATTTAAAATAAATAATTTCTTTTGAAATTATAAATATTAAAATAAAATTAATTTATAAGTTTTAGCAGCCTTTGGAGGCTGCTGCTTTGCTGCTGCTAAGGGGCTCTTTAAGAATTCATGGAGCAGCAGCCACAGAGGACTGGTATTGACTTTGCTGCTGCTGCTGCTCGTGCTGCTGCTGCTGCTCGTGCAGCAGCAGAGACAAAGTAGGGGCAGAAGCTGCAGCAAGAGCAGCAGCAGCAGCAGCTAGTGAGGCGGCTGCAGGTGCAGGAGTGCCAGCAGCAGCAGCAGCATAAAAGCGGCAGCAGCTAACTCCCGCAGCAGCTGCAGCACACCAGCAGGAACATGATGACCAGCAACAGCAGCAGCAGCAGCAACAGGAGCAGCAGCAGCAACAGCTGCAGCAGCAGCAGCTGCAGCGCCAAACTATTCCTAAGACCAACAGCAGAAGCAGGCAGCAAGAGCAGCTGCGTGCTGCTGCTGCACCTGATGCCTGCTGCTGCTGCTTGCTGTCGTGGATTGCTGCTACCGCTTGCTATCGCTGCTGCTGCTGTTTGCTGCCGCTGCCTGCTGCTGCTGCAGAAGGCAATAGCAGCAGCAGCAGCAATAGTTGCTGCTGCCGGTATTTGCTACTGCCGCTGCCTGTTGCTGCTCCCGAAGTCAATAGCAGCAGCAGCAATAGTTGCTGCTGCTGCTGTTTGCTGCTGCCCCTGCATCAGCAGCAGCAGCAGCTTGGTGAAGTCCGACGGTGTCTGAAGTTTCAGCAGCTAAGGCGCAGAGAGCAGCAGCAACTTCGAAGCGTTTGGGAAGCAGCAGCAGCAGCTCTTCGCAAGCAGACGCAGCAAGATAAGTAGACGCACTTCAGGGCTTGCTGCTGCTGCTGCTGCTGCTGCTGCTGCTGCTGCTGCTGCTGTTGCTGCTGCTGCTGCTGCAACAGCAGCAGCAGCAGCAGCTGCTGCTGCTGCTGCTGTTGCTGCTGCTGCTGCTGCAGCGCGAGGTATACGAAGCTCTGAAGGCGCGTGAGGACTTGCTAAAAATGTTTGGGTAGCAGCGCAGCAGCAACCAACCTACGAGGCAGCACCAACCGAAACAGCAGCAGCAGCAGCAGCAGCAGCAGCAGCAGCAGCAGCAACAAAAGACAGAAAACTAGCGAGCGGCTTCCAAAGCACAGGAAAGAAGGCAGCACCAAACCGACAGGCCCAAGGAGTGACATTTGCAATTTTTGAAATTCATCTATTAGTAAATGAAATTCCTCTTTTGCTGCTGCTGCTGCTGTTGCTGCTGCTGCTTTTGCTGCTGCTACTGCTGTTGCTGCTGCTGCTGCATGCAGTGCACGCGCAGCATCACGGGGCTAAAGAGTGCATCGCAGCAGCAGCAGTTGCTGCTGCAGCACCTTGTGTAGCAGCAGTAGCAGCAGCGGCTGCAAGCGCAACCACAGCTGCTGCTGCTGCTGCTGCTGCTGCTGCTGCTATTGTAAGATCGTTTGCTGCACCCTTCCCTGAGCTGTGCTGCAGCTGTTGGCGGCTGCTCTAGGGTTTATGGGGAGTGCATTCAGAGAAAGAAGCTCTGCGGGACTGAGCCTGCTGCTGCTGCTGCTGCTGCTGCTGCGGTGTACATACACTGCAGACTACGGCGAACACGGAGCAGCGCATTTAGGCATCCGCTGAGGGGCAGAGGCTGTCCATCTTTTCTTTTTTTTGTTGTTTACATTGAATTTTAAATTATGTTTATTTGTATATTTATATTTATATTTAGAAGCGATGTTTTCGGGTGTATGCATGCGCGGCAGCAGCTTGTTCTGCGGTGTCTGTACACCTGCTGGGGTGTACGCTGAGGTCTTGAGGTGTATCCGGAGCTCCAGGTGAATTTCTTTGACTTTCCTTCAAGTGTCTTTGTGGCTTCTTTGGTTGTTTGTGCTGCTGCTGCTGCTGCCGCTGCTGCTGCTGGAGCTGCTGCTGCTGCTGTTCGAGCTGCTGCTGCTGCTGCTGCTGCTGTTGCTGCTGCTGCTGTTGCTGCTGCTGCTGCTGCTGCTGCTGCCCTCCATGCGGACCACCACCCTTTGAGCCACTGCGCCGCGGCACAAGGGGCAGTGAACTAAGCTGCTGCTGCAGCAAAGACAAAAGTAGAAGTGGCAGCAAGGCAGCAGCAGCACTTCTCTTTGTCTGTCAGCACAAAGAAGGCAAGTTAGCTGCGCCTCGGCCTCGCGCAGCTTTTGCTCCTGCTGCTGCTGC